AAGCATGAATACCCCACTCAGACAAATTATACTGACTCCGATCCGACCAGTCCTTGATGTACCCATTAATGCCGAGCGCCAGACAGGGACCAACAAGTACCATATTTTAACGTCTTTTGGTATGACGCTGTCGGGGATCGAACCTGCGACCTTCCGCTCTCCGGGATCTACGACGGAGGCTCTGATTAACATTCCCTCCGGTCGGGAGACCTAGAACATTCCTGTGGATGTTCGGTGTTGTCTGGTGACAATATGCGTGGCATCTGTCTGTACTAGCTGGCGAATTACATAGTGTGAATATTTTAAAAAGATCACGACATCCATTTGTGACTATTCACTAATATTACCACTTCCCTCCTTCATACGTTCGTTGGTTCTTTCGTTCGTTCGCCCCGTGCATCCTTCCATAGATATATTCATCAATTCTTTCATCAGTCCGTCTACCCTTATACCATTCGTTCTTTCGTTCGTTTGTCTCCATCCATTTATTATACGTCCGTTCATTTTTCTGTTTCTCTTAGCTGGTTCCTTTTGGTGGTATAGGAAATGCCATCAACCTGTACCCAATATGACACTAAATAGCAGATGATACCGCAGATGTAACCATCGTTACATCGATAAACAGAAATTATGATGTCTCGGTAACGGTTGCCAATCAGGACCAAACACAATGTCAATATCACAGCCTATAAAAGCTGAAATCAGTGACCACAGCCGGTCGATATACAGCACCGCCAGCCTATATGGGAACATTTATCACCTATAGCACTGAGTGAACGATGAGAGATGCTTCCCACCTCATCAGCGCTGATGAATGCTGAAACAATTGAAAATTCCATGGGAGCGGGCCTCGCTATCTGAGATTAATATTGATTGACCTTAGGATTAATACGTGCAGTTTGCAGGAATAGCAAGTGCATGGTGCATGTAGATGGTCGGCGTTGTATACATGTTTCTTTGATGTGAAATATTGATAGGTATATATCACATGGGATCAATATTATAAGGTATGTATATGGAATATATTTCTGATAGTCTATAATGTATCTATTAATATTATATTGTTTATTCACGTGTCTCTTCTCATGTGTGAGTTATGTATATCTATAGATCCAGGATCCGCGTATCATGGGTTCGAATCCCTTATGTTATTTCCTACTGAAATGATAATTCAGGACTATGGAACGTAAGGGTAATTGACAAGGAAATGCATACATTGTCGGTCTGTTCAAAGTGTGTCTTTATATTTTGGTTTATATGAAATATGTTGTGTTGTGAAACACGCTACGTACTCTTCAGTGCCTATTAAAGCCATGTTGGGTAAATGTAAATTCCTGAGGTGGATATATACTGCCCACCAAATGTTCAGACTCACTAGTGTAAATGTAGAGCCTCTGTCAACTGTCAAACTAGATTTTGCAAAATATTCCACACTGTTTAAAGGTACTGTTTACACATGAACTGATGTTTTGCAAAACATTCGTAACGCTAGAAAGATTATTGTCATGGGTTCAATAAATGATGAAAATCAACGAAACTTGGCGAATTCTTCACATAACCAAAACGCAACTGATCACATGCACGACATTTGCACGTGCTTTTAAACAATTTGATGCATGATCCTCGTGCAGTTCATCTGCATAAAGTTTGCAGTTGGTTCCCCATGTTAGTGGAGAAATTGATCTTCGATGTAACCATATATACTACAAACAAAAAATATGGGAACACCCTAAAATTTAATAGTCATATATAGACTGAAACGTGGTGAGGTCATTTATATTTTAAGGTAAATGCAACTTTTTGTGTGCTTAATAGGCACTTTGACGACATGTTGGAACATGCAGTGAACACATAGTGACGTGTTTATTACTGTTTGATCCGTTTTAATCCTTCACCAAACCTACAATTTTCACCTTTTTCAAAACAGTAATTATATGATGCCAAATGCGGCCACCAATAGCATGACGCTATTCATCACTGCTTATATGGAGCCTGGCTTGTTGACACCAAGGCCATGCACGTGTGCTTCACCAAAGAGGTAAACTGTGAACTGTGTTACTCCCAGATTAGCTGACATGGCTTGTCACAACTGGAATTTGCTCAATGTGACATTAACTTCAACTCACACACTCATTACGTGTGAGAAAGTAAGATTCTTTAAGTAACAACTACTTTTATTATATATCATGCGACGTTTCTGTATGGATTCTTATACCGTTGTCAAGCAAGCGTCAAACAGATCATTACGTGTGGATTCCCAAATTGAAACTTAAAGTTGACTGACTGACTGAGTTTGGTTTTACGCCGCTTTTAGCAATATTCCAGCAACATCACGGCGGGGGACACCAGAAATGGGCTTCACACATTGTACCCATGTGGGGATTCGAACCCGGGTCTTCGGCGTGACGAGCCAACGCTTTAACCATTAGGCTACCCCACCGCCCCACTTAAAGTTGAATGGGAATCAGTCCGTAAAAACAGATCGATGTGAAACCAACAAAATACAAAGAAATGTGATATAATCAAGATTCTAAAATTGAGAAAGTTTATAAATTAACACAAGCCACTTCCAGTTACAGTACAAAATGGTGCGACAATACAAATCCATAGGCAGCATAATAGCAAAGCAGCGATTATGGCAATAAAGACAGTGATCATTGTAATATTCACCTCTTGGCAACAATGGTCCAAAACAGTAAGCATGATCTCGACACACCTGCTGGTCTTGAGATGTGATGTGAAATGAGAGGCAAGAGTTAACTCCCCTTATATACTTAAGAAAAAAACTAAGATATCTGTTTATAAGTTTCTCTTCGTCAGAGTGAGTGAGTGTGTGAGTGTGTGAGTGTGTGAGTATGGTTTTATGCCGCTTTTAGCAATATTCCAGCAATATCACGGCGGGGACACCAGAAATAGGCCCGGGCTTCATACATTGTACCCATGTGGGGAATCGAACCCGGGCCTTCGGCGTGACGAGTGAACGCTTTAAACCACTAGGCTAACCCACCGCCCCCTCTTCGTCAGAACACACCGGCAAGGCCTGTAGGATTGTAATACCCTGCCTGTGATAGCTTCCAGAACTCCTTCTAAATGAACAACACTGCCACAACAAGTCTTCGGATTATATATTTGTGGAGTGTTGTGGACTGCCCCACACATATCCCTACATTATGTCTAACATCTCAAGACTTGATTACAGAAATTTAAGTCGTTGTCCTCGAGCACATAATTCCACGGCTAAAATATGTGTTTACTCGCATATTTGACATACATGTATGTTAGACACACTTGCATGCGCTTAAGATGGTGCACAGAATCATTTCGTATTTGTCAGTCATATATAATGCATGTTAAAACGATGCAAAGGCTGCATAACACTCAATTATTTATACCAGCTATTATCGGCCTACTCTGAGCTGACGCTGTCAACGCAGTGGTCGATCGATACCACAGAGGACCACTCTTTAGAGAGATTTCTTTCAGCACTGCACCAGGCCAAACACACCTGTATAAATACAGTCGATATTCCTGGTGTCCTGGTGAACGATTCGGATGATCAGATGCATCATATTTGCTTTAACAAATGATGATGATCTATCTTAGAAAATATACCTTAAAATGGTATCCTGTCGGGTACCCATTCACTGCTAGTTAAACAGGGGCACATTTGGAACAAAGTCACTAGCCTACGGTGACACCACTGTGTTACGTGATTTTCGGTGTAGGATGGTTCGATACCTCGAACATGTTCGTCCATCCACCTACTCTCCATGACCAAGGCTTGGACAGTGTCACACCACTGCCGACTGATAGTGTCCTACTCCTGGACAGTGTCACACCACTGCCTCCTGGACAGTGTCACACCACTGCCGACTAATACTCACACCACTGGACAGTGTCACACACTGCCGACTGATAGTGTCCTACTCCTGACAGTGTCACACCACTGCGACTGACTGATAGTGTCCCTCTAGTGGCAGTGTCACACCACTGCCGACTAATAGTGTCCTACTCATGGACAGTGTCACACACTGCCGACTAATAGTGTCCTACTCCTGGACAGTGTCACACCACTGCCGACTGATAGTGTCCTACTCCTGGACAGTGTCACACCACTGCCGACTAATAGTGTCCTACTCTGGACAGTGTCACACCACTGCCGACTGATAGTGTCCTACTCCTGACAGTGTCACACCACTGCCGACAGTGTCACACCACTGCCGACTGATAGTGTCCTACTCCTGGACAGTGTCACACCACTGCCGACTAATAGTGTCCTACTCTTGGACAGTGTCACACCACTGCCGACTGATAGTGTCCTACTCCTGGACAGCGTCACACCACTGCCGACTGATAGTGTCCTATTCCTGACTGCCGACTGATAGTGTCCTACTCTTGGACAGCGTCACACACTGCCGACTGATAGTGTCCTACTCCTGGACAGCGTCACACCACTGCCGACTGATAGTGTCCTACTCCTGGACAGTGTCACACCACTGCCGACTGATAGTGTCCTACTCCTGGACAGTGTCACACCACTGCCGACTGATAGTGTCCTACTCTTGGACAGTGTCACACCACTGCCGACTGATAGTGTCCTACTCCTGGACAGTGTCACACCACTGCCGACTGATAGTGTAGGTCACACCACTAATAGTAAACTGACAGAGTCAAAGTCAGAGCGCGAGCATGGAAAGTATAACAAAGCTACCGTTAACGCATAGACTAACACGTATGCTGAAATAATATATAATTAGTTTCAATAAAATATCATTCTATATTAATTCTATATAGTTGTCATCCATATACTCGTCTTATGCAGCCAGTGAAAGTTTAATGAAAGATCTGAATATGTTGTACTTGGGCATGCCCAAGCCTTTAGAACTAATATATAAATCAGTTGATTAAAATTATATTTTACTTGTAAACGGCAACCATAAACACATCCCATTCAGTTGTAATTATTTACTTGTTTCTTATTTGTTATTTTAGACACCATGAGTGCAATCCAATACAAAGCCGCCATGAAGGCCGAAATAGTAAATAGACGACGAAAGGAATATCGAGAACAAGAAGGAATAATTGGATCCAGTGGTCTCAACAAGGTCCTATAAATGTTGTATTGTATCGTGTGCATTTTATAAATTATTACCGATTGTGATCATAGATTTTAGTAATCACGCACAAAACCATACATCTTACGTCTTAGTTATTTTCTTTTGCATCTGTTTCGAACCAACAAATATCTAATCTGCCTGATATGTCTGGACAAAAAGTGAGACAAACAAACAACTCTATCTCTCTCTGCCCCTGCTTGCATCCAGGTTCGCGGTGAAATGTTCATCCCTTTACTAGTGGTTTGATTGTACCAAAGTTATGTCCCTTTAAGAAATCTTCAGCGTAGCGGACAATGCGCATGCGCAAAATTCCATCGCGCACCGGGTTTGTTTTGATGTTTCTATGAAACGATGAAGGTATTTCTTGTGTTTTAGACTGTCTTTGAAAATTGATTAACTGCATGCTAGCAAATTGTATGTTCAGACTTTAGTTTTTATTTTGTTGAAAGTAATAAGCAGACTTTTAATGTTTCACAGCGATGCAAGATATGACAATATATTTAGCGTCTGCTAGTGCTTGGTCTTGAATCATGCGATATTTTATGAAAGCTGCAGAAACTACAAATATTGTTTTCAGTTGTATCAACGACAAACTATATAAATTAGAGTTGCTACTAGTGTAATATTATCTGCAGCTAATGTATGGTCATGTTTTGACGTTTGACTCCTTGGACTTGATGGCTCCCGACTACATACCCAACCTACAATTTCCTTGGTGTTAAATATTGGTTATCTTCACTAGGTCCCCAGTAATTATTGCGTGTCATGTAATATTGGGAAAGACTTCCGCCTGTATGCCCCTTTAAATTTAATTCTTGTCGAAGCATATCACCTGAATATATATTCCTCACCTGATAACAGTGGGTTTAACATGTTTTTTTAATAGAATCTTAACATAATGAAAGACATATCCAACTTCTAAAAATAAATGCCACTCAAAGAATTTTTTCCTCATCGTTAAAATTTAGGGGGAATACTGGCGGAAGTCTTACCCAAAAGAGCATAAAAAATTACTAATAGGTTTTATAATATTGTGAACATGAAGGAAATTAGTAAATAAACAATGCATTAACTGAACATTTAGAAAATCAGTAAATAAGATATACCAAAATTTTTGTTGTCTGTTTCAGAGAGTTTTCAGTCTAGCCGATAAGTCCCATGGACAAGGGGGCATCTTCTACAGTTGGCAGAGAGCACATGGCAACTATCTGGCAACAACAGGGTACAGTTCAGATCAATCTGTCACATACAATGAAACCTCATTATCTTAGGTTTGACAAGGACACTTGTTCATTTTGTCCCTTGGGACTACATCTGGGCCGTCCATGGTATTGCAATAGAGGTCACAGGCCCTCGTGTCTTTGCGAAGATTAAAGATTTAAGAAAAAAAAGTTTTGAGATGACGCCCCACTCGAAAGGCTACACAGTACAATATATTATGACAAGGCCGGACACTTCGGTGTACCCCTACCCACCTGTTTTGCAGATCGCTACGCTACCATCACATACAATCGATTAAAACTTTTGTAAACATAATCATGGATGATTGGCCTATCGATCACCACTCATGGCACCTACCAATTCTTTATTGTTAATTCTGCAAGTCGATTGAAGCCCGATTTTAACTCTCAGCTAAACGATCTTGACACAAACGGATGACGATATGTCTGTACCAAACCCTCTGATTGGTCAACGCTTTCAAATCTGTACATTCTTTATAAATTCGCAGAAATTTTTATTTCCATCGACAGGCTTAATGAAAGAATAGTTTTTCGAGCAATGACTCCTCATAAGGAAGCATCAGTTGTAAAAGTCACCTTAACAAGCATGAACCAACCAGAGGGCTTGCTTCGACCACACCCCAGTTTTGTGCGGAATCATCGTCATCCATTTGTGTCAAGATCGTTTAGTTGAGAGTTAAAATCGGGTTTTAATCAACTTGCAGAAATAACAATAAAGAATTGGTAGGTGTCATTAGTGGTGATAGATAGGCCAATCATCCATGATTATGTTTACATTAAGTTTTAATCGATTGCATGTGATGGTAGCGTAGCGATCTGCAAAGCAGGCGGGTAGGGTACACCGAACTGTCCGGCCTTGTCATAATGTATTGTACTGTGAAGCATTTCGAGTCGGGGGTCATCTCCAATTTTTTATACTTTTCTTAACATCTTTAATCCTCGCAAAGACATGAGGACCTGTGATAGAGGTCTCATGATGACCACTGCATCAAAAGCAAATTTAATAAAAATCTGTCACATATAATGAAACCTCATTATCTTAGGTTTGACAGAGACACTTGTCCATTTTGTCCCTTGGGACTACATCTGGGCTGTCCATGGTATTGCAATAAGGGTCTCATGATGACCACTACATCAAAAGCAAATTTAATACAAATAAAGCATCTAAGTGTGTTTATTTTTGTTTTTGTATGGATGGGGATTTCCTTGTGGGATGAGATGGAAAACTCAGTACTCAGGTCGGCTGTGTCCTGAGTAGGATCGAGGTACTGACAGCACTTCATGGACACATGTTTTGTCTTGTGATATTCTGTTTATAACAATAACTGATAAAATCCATGGACACATCACAAGTTGCTGAAGTCAGCAACTAGTGCATGTCTCTCTGTACCTTTTCTGTGTGAGTAAGTGATGGGTTTGTTATAGTATGACTTTCTGTCTCAGATTCGACCATGCAGTAAGGATATATGATCGACATGGAGAACTCAAGGAGGAGATCAACCTGCCAGGGTGAGTACACTGATCAGCTCAAGAATAATAACACAGATGTAAACAATCATTTCACCATCAAATACTGTCCTTCCTGACTGTTCAACTCGCATGTCAGACGTTTTGTTCCTCTAAGCCTCCATTTACTACCAAATTACAACTACACCGACCTAGAATTTCATCTGAATGACTAGTCTCATTCAACCTATGCTGGATACTATTGTATGCAATTTCCAGCTAACTTCCGTTTTTGTATTGACACAAATAATGCCGGATTGTTTCAGGATGTGCACTGGCCTGGGTTGGGACAGTGATGGCGATATCCTTGGGATTGTGTGTGAGAAGTCCACAGCCATCATACTGTGGGATGCTAACTCTCACCGCACCACGCAGATTGACAGTGGACTCAAGTGAGTCTGTTAGCTTTGTAATCATCATAAACATGGTAACATCAGATGTGCCAGTATTGTCAAAACGTAGTGGTTATACTGTGAAAAGCCTTTTATTTTCATATCTTCCAAAACATGTCTGGATATATATTTGCCATCATATGCAGGAAGTTGTCTTGGATTCTTGACAAAGTAATTTCGTCTGCAAATTTTGAAAAATGTACGCAAAATTAAGTGTTTAATATTTCTGAGGTATTTAAGCATTCTGCCTTATTGTTTTGTAAGAGACTCGTCCTGTCCATTGATCCTGTTATCAGTAAATACAAGTTCATGACAAATCTCCTCGACTTAGTTGTGATTATGTCAACAATGTTATCATGTTTTTGGAATATTATAGATTACATTGGGGGAAATGTTGCAGTACATTTGGGGTGCTTAGAAAGATTGCTTACAGATAGTTTAAAAGTTGGTCAAGATAGCGCTTATTGGTTCAGAGCACTTGATACAGCAAATATGTGTCATGATATTTAGATTGTCAGGATAATTCTCTACTATAGTATTTTGTAGTTCAGTGGTTATTCCTGTGCTTTACATTTCAGAAAGTAATTTGAGTTCTTTTCTCTAAGTGGAATATTTGATGAACATGTTTCAATATGTGATATTTCATCTTCATCGTCAAATTTCAGAGACACCATGACCTTCCTGAAGTGGTCCAACACTGGTCCCCAACTTGCTGTCGGTACACTGAAGGGGAACCTCATGATCTACAATCATCAGACATCACGGTACAGCCCTTGTACAGTTGTATCTTATCACTCATAGACAAGGCCATTGACCTTGGACAAGTGAAATTCTTGATGGTTTCCCAGTGTTTGGTGTTGGTCTGTCTGTATTCTTGGTTAGAATTGGTCCTCATGAACTTGTGATTGTTGTAAGAGGTTGCTTAGGGATCAAATGGTCTTTGATTGTCAAGTCTGTACCTAAGTTTATATGCAGGCTTGTGGAAACTCGAGATTCTTTTTCAGAAGAAGTCCTCCTTGGGGTACATATAAGCATTTAAATGTCAATTTTAAATCCTACGACAGTTGTAACTATATTTTTTAATAAAATATTTACAAAGCAAAAAACTCATTCTGTCTTGTGAGACCACCCCTACAGGGCCCCACCAGACCCCCTACAGCCAAGAGCAGGTAACTCTCGCCGTCTACCTCGTACCTCACTTTTCATGCTGTCGTTCTGTTGAATAGACGTGTGTGGTGTTCATTTCTAGTTTGCTCTCCTACCGATACAATGAGTGTAAAAGAGTCTCAATCTGTATGTATGGTTCCTTTCTTTACGCACGGGCGTTAGATGGACTTCATATGTTGATATTCTCATTCATCTTTTGTTGTAACTTTGCCGTGGGTTCTCTGTTTTCCAGCCTTATGGCAGGCAAATTGACGGACCGTGTGATCTTGGTTTTCCTTGCTACATGTTCTTGGTAGCTTGTAGTAGGGAGTTCATATATTATGTTTGCATATTCTATGGTAGGCTTGCCTAAATTCTCTCTCTTTTCAGCGAATTTGTGGTAAGTCGTTGTTGAGTAATTTTGATAGTGTTTGTTTCGTATTACTCAACTTTACTCACTAGTATGTACACGCAGATGCGGCTAGCCTTTTTTCTGCTTTGCATTGTATGTTTAGTATTTAAATGGCTGTAGCTTGTAGCATTTAAATATCGGTCGTGCGTTTTATTTGTTGCTATTTTCTTGTGTTTATATGTTTGCTGCTTCACAGTTCCTGCTAGTAACACTGGCATGGTTCTGTTTGTTGCAGTTTAAGCCCTGTGCGTTGTGCCGTGCACACTACCGCCACAGGATGGTCACAAGGTGTGCCTCCGGTGTTTAGCCGAGGACGCTCATGACGATCAAGAATGTTCATAATAAGCACCCTTGCATCAATATTCCTGTTACATTATGTTGTGTTATGTTACACATATACACATTTCATACGTTTACACACAACGTGGCTCAAAGTGGCCAAGGTTGTGTTTTTTGCCTGGGTTTCCGTGCCTCACAAGCATTCTTTCAGGCACGCAGATTTTATGCTTTTCACTAATCTGCTTCAGGCGGGGGATAGTATTTGATGAAAGGTTTCTAAGGAAATCCCTTTATCGTTTATACGCCTCCCCCACAAACAATGTTGCTACACTAACGATTGATTTCTTACTTATAACAGCAGCGGAGATCGCCGGGTCTCTGGGTGGCATCTGACGGAGGTCAACTCTCATCTGGCTAGGGACTGCATTGTAGCTGTGCCAGCCAAATGATGAGTGCGGTTATGGGCCTCTGGCGCCCGGGACTGTTTCGAGGAATACGGAAGTCTGTCGAGCTTCTCATTAATTCCTCAGGTGCCCAGGCACCGGCAAACGTTATGTTGTCGACTGCAGGGGTTTACTGTATTCTGCCACAAACCCCGGTCGGAGCGATGCACACCAGTGTCGGTTTCCCGGGAGGAAAATGTGGGGTTTGACTCCATTTATTTCCTCGTTGCCATTAAGAACGGAATGTTCAGACCCATTCTCATCTGAGACCTGAACAAGTTAATAGAGGTACTGTCCTTCAAGATGGAGACACCGCGTTGGTGATCTCATCTGTCGAGACAGGGGATTGGAGCACGTCAATCGACCTCGAGGTCGCGTACCTCCTTGTTCCATTGCACCCTGATTTCAAGATTTACCTTCGGTTCTTGTTTGACGGGACGTGCTACCAGTTTCGTGTGCTCCCCTTAGGCTACATTACGGCTCCAAGGGTGTTCACCAAATTGAGGTTTATTACAGGCCAGATAGACAGATCGCAGTGCCGTTGTTGTCACCCGTACCTAGGTGACTGGCTCATCGTGGTTTAAGAATAACTGTTGAGTCTGGGAACCTCACGATCAGTGTTGGTCACTCTTACGAAACTGGGCCAAATTGTCAACCTCACGCAGTCAGATGGACAGACGTCAGGCGTCTCTCCGAGGGGCTCCCCCTGGAGACACCGTTGCTCTTAGTCCAGCCAGATACATCCCTACTGGGTTGGGGCGATGTTCTGGGCGACCTGCGGTCTCTTGACGACGAAGTCACAACCTGCACATCAATGTGCTGGAATTGACAGCAGTCAGGTTGGTGTTCGATTCCGCATGCCAGGATTTGAATTACCTTTTCGGCCAGACATTCTCACTCTGAACGGGGCGCCACACCCGAATCCTCGGATTCACTGGGTGGCTTGGCCTCTGTCGGGTCTAACCCCCAGACACAAGGAATTCCTGCAACCGTTGCAGACACAATTCTGGCTTCGAGGCGGGATTTGAGTCCCGTTCAGTGTGTTCATAGGTGGGGCGCGCTGGTGTGCAGATAAGGGGATTTCATAATCCCTATTTTGTTCGGATATTACGGAGTTACTATAACCTCGTTTTGGTTGAGAGCCTTATGACCTCCACCATTCCCGGGTGCTCCATGGCTATTTCCACGTTTTACACCTCGTTCGATGGTGCTCTGCCTAGGCAGCACCCTCTCGTACAGCGCTTCGTAGCTGGCATGAACAGGGTTTGACTGCCTCGGCGGCGACCCAGCTCACCTTAAAATTGCCAGTTATTCTCAATTGGCTGTCTGGCCCTGACTTTTCAAGTATATCGTCTCTCTCACTTCACTTGTTGACGTGGAAGACGGCTTTACTTGTGGCGGTGAGCTCTGGTAGAAGGGTCGGGTACATCCATGCGATACCCACTGACCCGACACTGACAGTATTTTATACTGATCATGTCCGTATTCGCCTCCCGGATACCTACCACTCTCAGTTCGATATTGCTTTCCACGTGACTGCTCATATCGAACTTCCACCCCTTACCCAGCCTTCCACACCGGGGACCAATTTTTCGATTGCTCACCTGTGACTGTAACAAACAAACGAAAGGGATCCGTACAGGTACTTATGTGTTCTTCTTTGGTGGTGGGAAGACTGGGGAATCTGCTAGCAAGCGGACTTTATCTCGTTGGCTCGTTTCCGTAATTGTTCGGTTAAAATGCTAAGGTTTACTTTCCCCCGAGGGGTTGAAGGCAGACTGGGTAGGGCAGATGCCGCTTTGTTGGCAATACACAGCGGCACTGCTCAATGAAGAGATTGGTTCTGTCGCTCTTTGGAGCCGGCAGAACGCCTTCCTTCGCCATTACCGACTTGACACGCATTCTAAGGAACGTGCTCATTTCGGTCTTTCGGTTCTCTCCAGTGGAGAGTATCCTGCTACCCTGACCAAGTTAGTAACTGGTCATTGGTATCAGTTCTGTGTTCAATGTCGATATGGTTCATATCACTACATCGTATAAGCCTTACCACCCTTTCGGGTTGGGTCGGGTTTGGGTGTACATACGTCCCTTACGTCCTCTTCACTTAAAGGCAAGAGGGCGGGGCCGGTTTTGAACGATTTAACCAGTTATATGCTATTAACCTGTCTTGCGAACCCCCCACGGGTCACTGTTTCATATGCCTCTCTTCGAGCCGCATGTCATGTGACCAGGTTAGTGTAATAGTGAGCCAACACATGTTCGGCTACGCTTTTCGCTATTCAGGGGATTTTTGTACGCTAACAGTTTTTCCCTCTTCCCGAGACTTCAGTATTTGGGAGTCTGTGTTAATCTGGGTTATTGGCTTTTAAGCCGAGAGTGTTTTAAATTTTAATGCGCTTTCCCTACCCTAGCAAGGCTATACCTCTCGCCCGCGCTTCTCTGGCTGGGGCTATATTAGGGTTGGGAGTTGTTTCGCATGTCCCCATACATTCAATTGTAATGGTTAGGGTGGGGTTTTATATCATTCAATTGATTTGAGCCAATTGATTGATATGAGCTAGTTCTAGTTCTAGTTCTAGTTCCCGCCCTAGCCACGCCCCTGCCTGATTGACATCAGCAGTCAGGTGGCTCGGTAAGTGTGCTTTTTCTATTTCCATATCGGTTGTAGATTTCACTCGACCACGGGTTTAGTTGTTGCCAGACAGAATGCCACTCCCGTCTCAAATATCTTTGGGAGTCTGTCATATGCTTATATGTACCCCAAGGAGGACTTCTTCTGAAAAAGAATTATACAAACCTGTAGAGGTTATGAATTCTTTGCGTAAAGTCCTCCTTGGGGTATGGCCACCGCTCCCCTCATTCTGTCTGACACGTTCAGCATAAAAAGTGAGGTACGAGGTAGATGGCAAGAGTTACCTGCTCTTGGCTGTAGGGGGTCCGGTGGGGCCCTGTAGGGGTGGTCTCAAAATACAAAACGAGTTTTTTGCTTTGTAAATATTTTATTAAAAAATATAGTTACAACTGTCGTAGGATTTAAAATTGACATTTAAATGCTTATATGTACCCCAAGGAGGACATTCTTCAAAGAATTCATAACCTTTACAGGTTTGTATAAATTTGGATGCCTTGACACTGATTGGCTGACACCTTACCTGACCTACGATTGTGGATCTTGTTAAACTGTATGTAAATCTGTGTTTATATTTTCAGTAAAATCCCAATTATTGGGAAACACATAAAGAAGATCACATGTGGTGCGTGGAGCGCTGAGAACCTGTTGGCACTGGGAAGCGAAGACAAGACTATCTCTATCAGCAATGCTGACGGGGACACACTCAGACAGGCAACCATCAGGGCTGACCCCGCTGAGATAGACTTCTCCGAGATGAAGGGGGATGAGAGGAGTGCCATTGGCCAAAACACTGTATGTTTTAAATAAGTAAATCTTTACCCAAAGTGTTTAATGAAATGTAATCATTAATTTTTCCTTATCCTGACACATGCTAATTATGCTTGTCTCCTTCCTCTTGCAAATGATAGTGGAACACTTGAAATCTCTTGAAGTTCCCTTCTAAAAAAGTGGACGTAAAATCACTCAGCCACGAGTAGCATCCCTTTCCTCCCTTTTGGTGCCCAAATGGTCACATGATCGGCCATATTTGTCACTCTCTCCTTCTTCGCCCCTGAGGACGGTTGTGAGAGCACCTGGGTCCCTCTACATAGGATGGAACCCTTCCTGAAGGCTCCAGAGGTTGATGATGACTACAAGATTATCATCGACTCCCGTCGGAGAACTTACAAGATTGAGGATAAGAAGTTAGTGCAGCTGGATACAATCACCAGATGTATTTTCTTCTGATTAGCCAGATCGAGGGCTATCAACGAAACACTCATCTCGAAGTTCAAGAATTCCTCCGCCTAAGAAGACCGGATGATATACTCCGCTCTACTAATGCAGAGGAGGGACCATCAGTTTATGTCGGAGCACCTAGCATCCACATCAGCGGGCTTGACTCTCCTGAGAAGACAAGGGTTATTGTCAGCATGCACTTGAACGCTTCACCAAGTCCTTATACAGAGCCCCATGGTCAGCATCTTATATCTTCGGAGGAGGAATTGAAGAAGTCGCCAGAGAAGTCTCTCACGACTCAAGGGAGGTTATGATGATTATATCCATCGACACCTTGGCTAACGTGATTCGTCAGACGTCCCAACGTTACTCCAATACATCTAAGTTTGCAGTAGTCCAGAGAGCCAGAGAGAAAAGAAGTATTCAAGCATGAAAGGAGGAAGAGGCTCCTTTCGTCACCCAACCGGAGCTCCTAGAGGTAACCCCGTAAGTGGCCGAGCACCTAGGGGTGCAAAAGGAATCAAGTGCTGAAGGCCAGGTTCGGAACAACTGGAGGTTCGGAACAACTGGAGTCTTCCACCCCCAGCCGTTCCTGTACAACCTTCGACAATGGATGGACGTCTTCAACGGTACTGGGAGAATTGGGGAATACTACAGGACGACTACGTATCCAAGATACTGCATAGAGGGTACAAGATACAGTTGGAAGCCACTCCGCCGCTCACAAACAACCCGATGGCCTTCAACTATGCAGCCGACCAGATAGAGAAACTGGACGATGCTATCAAGACCCTACTCGACAAAGAGGCAGTAGAAGAGATAGACCAAGATCTCATCACGCCCGGGTTTTACTCCCCAATTTCCTGGTACCGAAGAAGAATTCCAAGGAGAAATTTCGGCTCATCTACAACATGAGGAAGTTCAACCGGGAGTATCTCCGCAGACCAGCAAAATTCAAGATGATACATCTTCCTCAGCTCCGACATCTCGTTCGTCCAGCCGACTACCACGCCAGCATAGATCTGCAAGATGCGTACCTCCACATCCCGATACATCCAGACTTAAGGAAATACCTACGATTCCTTTTCAACGGACATTACTTCCAGCTGAAGGTTCTACCGTTTGGAATATCGTTGGCCCCCTGGTTGTTTACTCGATTGACCAAGCCCATCGTCACATATCTACATCGTCGAGGTCTATGCAGTGCTTTCTACCTGGACGACGGGATTCAAGCTCATCACGATCCCAGTCAACTCAGACTGCAACTAGACTTCACCATCAGGCTGCTCACTCAACTGGGATGGCTAGTGAATCTCCTCAAGTTTGAACTGGATCCGAAACAAGATCTGCAATTTCTAGGAATTCGACTCATCACACCAGTGAATCGCATAGTCGTTCCAGAGGATCGTTGGGTCAAGATACAACAGATGATATCTCAAGCAATGCATGCTCGGTCTACTCATCTCAGCTCAAGACATGACTCGCAGAGGGAGATTACAGTTGCGCCCTCTACAAGTATTTGTGAACGCCCACCTAGACAGTCTAGATCCGTTAATACTACCGGACAGCCTGAAACCATATCTCCTATGGTGGACTTGGAAGTCGAACGTTTGCGGAGGAACCTTTTTGTCAGAGCAACACTCATCTCTACGTGGATGCCTCCCTACAAGGATGGGGTGTGCGTTTTACATCAACAAACAAGGGTCAACAAGATCAACAAGTCAGCATCAAATCAGATTTCTCCTGTTCAGCATAGTCGATGACCTGAACATCTACATGAAGGCATGCCACATTCCGGGAGCAAAGAATGTCATAGCAGACGCCCTATCCCGTCCACTACAACCACCCCGACGGAATGGATGTTGCAGCCAGAAGCATTCCAGTTCATCAGACAGACTATAGGATCCCTACCAATAGACCTGTTTGCAACAAAGTTCAACAAACAGCTACCAACGTTCGTCTCACCGATTCCAGATCCTAAGGCATGGGCAACAGACGCTCTAAGCATCTCATGGGAAGGACTAAATGCTTACGTGTTTCCGCCTCCTGCACTGCTACCACAAGTACTACTGAAAATCAAGCAGATGACTACGTTGCAACTGATTTTGGTCGCGCCCTACTGGCCAGGGAGGGTATGGTTTCCCATCCTCATACAAGAACTCGGAAGTCCAACGCTGTAACTACCAGAGTGGTCGAACCTACACGTCCATCCACACACCAAGCAAGCTTACGGGAACACGACACTGTTCCAGCTACACGCGTGGAGCGTATTAAAGCTTGCCTGAAGACTAGAGGGTACTCCGCCAGAGCAGCGAAAGCAGTTACACTAGCTCTACACAGATCAACTCGCAACTTGTACGACGACAAGTGGCAGAGATTTGAACAATATGCAAAGAGGAAAGGCTTTACAGGGGTGAAAGCAACACATCCTCAAGTGGCGGAATACTACGACAGATGAGACACTTAAAAGGTTCAACACTCTCAACTTACTTAGCTGCCCTCAGTACAGTTATCACCATGAAAACGGGTATCAAGCTGACCAAAGTACCAGAGATTCTGGCACTACTACTACTCGTTCAAGTTGGAAGACCAACAAAAGAAATTTAAGTCTCCTGCCTGGGATCTCAACATAGTTCTACAACATCTCACCAGTGATGCCTACGAGCCTCTAGAATGGACATCCTTTAAACTACTAACTCAGAAAACGCTGTTCCTGATCGCCCTAGCAACAGCTGCAAGGATGTCAGAAATACATGCTCTGGACTTTGAACGAACGCAATTTGAATCAAGACATCGTGACATCGAACATATTGGACTGAGATGGGATTTATCGCCAAGAACCAACTGCCTGGTCAACCTGACAGACAGTTCCACATCCCAGCACTATCTACAGTCCTTGGGCCACAGGATACGCAGGATCTATCCTTATGCCCAGTCATCTTACAGAGAACTAAAACAAGGAGACGAAAATTCAAGCGCCTATTCATCCCCTTATCGACTGAGATGCCCACGGAAGTCTCTCAGACAGCGATATCGATCTGGATGAGAGCCGTTATACTAAGGGCCTATAAAGCAGCAGGACTTGAGCCTCCACGAGCCTCCAATCCACATGAAGTCAGAGCCCTGGCGTCAACACTTGCTCTGCATGGAAACAGCTTGATTACAACTATAATGGAGGGCTGCTTTTGGAGATCGAACATGGTGTTTGCCAACCACTACCTCGGCGACATTGCCACCGAAGACATCTCAGGCATTCACCAGTTTGGGCCACTTGTTGTAGCACAACAACTAACGGTTCCACAAAGGCACTGAGTAAATCTCACCCCCTTTATCACGTGACTTGTGAAAACCAACGCTCTGGAGAGCTATGGCTATAAGTCCATGCACACGTCTAGGACAGACTAGCATGAGTGATAGACCCTGTACTTGTATAGGACTTACTTGTACATGAAGAAGGGTCGCATCTCCACTTGATGCGCGCATCAAAAGATGGAGTTGCAATAGATAACTAATGGAATATTAGTACATATAAAATCCACACGAAAATGTCAGAAGTTTCGCAAGAAATCTGACAAGTTGCAGTCCCCCCCAGACTCATCAGAGAGAGGTTGAAAGAACAGAATCTTCAACAGTGCCGTCATAAGTTCCCAAGGGGGGTAATACAGGACGTAAATCTACAACCAGTGAATCCAGAAAGTGGCTTGACCCACCGACGTTTCCGACGGATTCTGCAAGCATAATTAGCATGAGTCAGGATAAGGAAAAATATGTAATTTTGTGACTAAAATTGATATTTTATACTTATCCTGACTCATGAGGTTAGCCCTCCCAACCTCCCCTCTTATGGCACTCTGGATTTCCCTGTAAATCCGGGTGTCTGGCTTACATACGGAGAGAGTGACAAATATGGCCGATCATGTGACCAGTTCAGTGAGTTGGGCACCAAAAGGGAGGAAAGGGACGCTATTCGTGGGTGAGTGATTTTACGTCCCCTTTTTGGAAGGGAACTTCAATGGATATCAAGTGTTCCACTATCATTCGCAAGAGGAAGGACACAAGTATAATTAGCGTGAGTCAGGATATGTATAAAATATCAATTTAAGTCAGAAAATTATATATTTTCTTGTGATTTCTTTGTTTGCATGTGTGTCAGTGGCTTGTTAAGTCTCACCTTTTAATGGAGCTTGATGTCATGTGTGTGTATAGTTTTGAATTTCATGGATTTTAGACAGGTGATTAATCAGCTGTATATTATTACAAATCAAATGTTGTACCTGTATCCAAGGCTGTGTCTGTTGTTCCAGGTCAGTGTTGTTGTGGGCAAGAAGACCCTGTTCCTGTACAACATCAATGACCCTGAGAACCCTATCGAGCTGGCCTTCCAACAGAGATACGGGAGCATCATTTCATACAAGTGGTCAGTCACAGGACATAGCTTTCACTGGGGCTTTGTGTTTTTCTCCCCACCATTCCAAAGGGCAGATTAGAATGACCAGAACTGTTTGTGATTCTTTTTTTAATTAATATCAAATTTGTAAGTTATAGATGACTAATTTTCATCCAAGCAACACAAATATTCAATATTCATCTGATTTCAGGTATGGAGATGGGTACATCTTGATTGGATTTTCTCACGGATACTTTGTTGTGATTTCCACCCACTTGAAGGAGATTGGTCAGGTGAGTGGCGTGTCGTCATGTCTACGCATGTGCTTATGAATGGGAATGAGGGAATGACAGTCTGTATTACCATAAGTAAAATCTGATAATCTGAGGATGTCGAGCAGGATTTTTTGTAGCCTGTTTCCATGGTGGACATCAACTCAGTAGCAACTCTGTTTTCCTATCTGGTGAAAATAACTTCAGATTTTAGTTGTATTTTTGTTTGAGAAATGTAAAGATAGGGTGTCATGCTTGTATCAATGTATTGCTGATATGTTGATTTGAATCACGCCTACCCTTGTTTCCTTTCTTGTGCTAATTCTTTCTATTATCAAAAAGTAATATGGATTTAGTAGGGCATTATCTGAATGGTTATCATTTAAGAGGCCCTGTGTTCTTAACACATTATATGACAGCAAAATTGAATTTGTGCCCTTTTTCTGTTAGATGGCTGGTTATCAATTTTTAAACCACTCATTTGAGAATAATATCACATTGGTTGCATCAATGACCCTCCTTCTCCAGGATGTGTTTGTTGTTTAATGCCACATTGAGCAATATTCCAGCTATATGGCAGCGATCTGTGAGTCACATCCAGGTACCATGAGCATCAATCAATGCAATTGGGAATCCCTGTACTGTTTATACCCTATTGCGATGAGCTGGTTGCCGAAGTTGACATGTATATGTTTAAAACAAATATGTGCCTTAGTTCACATGGTTAGCAGATGAACCATCTTTAACAGGGTTTGTGTGTGAGGGGTCATCCATATATCATATAGTAACTTTCTGTGGGGAGTGATTCTGGTTAAGAATACGTCCAAGCAGCCTTTTTTGACATTGATCCTGGTTGATGTGTGTGTGATCATACCAGTGTGCGAAATAGATTCCAAATTTTGCTAGCCAGTTGGGCAAGCTAGGCCTGAAAGTTACTGCCCACAAGATAATTCACTAGCCCGAAATTTGAATGTAGAAACTAAGCAAAAGATTTCAAAAAGGTAAAATACCACCAAAAACAATTGAAACCATGAAATGTCACTAGCCAGTTGGGCCAGTGACTGTCAAGATTTACTGGCCCGACAGGATTTTTCCTAGCCACGGGCAAGCGGGCCAGTGGCTATTTCGCTCACTGGATCATACCCTAATGGTTGTCATTTTGCTCATAATATCAACCACTGGTTTGCTAGGTACAGAACTGGTTATTTACAGGTTTCTATGATTACAGACTAAACAAAACCCCAATAAACAGTTGACTTAACTGTCATAGCTGACATGTATTCCATCATCATTCCTTCAGTAAATGGTAACACTAGTGTGATGTGCATAAGAAGGGAAGCGTTACTATCAGGTCCATTTTGTCAGTGTGTGTGAATATATAGCCATGTCAAGTGTTACTATGCATGAGTTGTCCTGAAGTGTTCCCCAAGAGAGCATGACTTGAAAGTACCTTGATGCTATTACAGTTTGCATCAGGTGTGGTTTTGACATGACATTATAAATCTTTAGCCTCTTCCTTCTTTAGGTGATTTCTTTTCATTGAACTACTAGCCTCCTCATCAAAGCCATAACATTATGATATATCAGCATTAAAGAGGAATAACTTTACACCTGCTGCCTTGGTGCCAAGTATTGACCTCTAAATATATATCAAAGCTTTCTTAAGCAGCATGGTCATGTGCATAACTATAGTCTGGATCAGTGGCCAGGAAGAAGGGTGCAAGGGAAAGGAAATGTAAAACTATCTGAAATGTTTTTAAACAGTGCTTATGGCATATAAGTTGTTGAAATACTATGAAACGTAACTAAACGTATCTCTCTAAATAAATAATATCAAACTATTTCCCAGCACACAACACTTTCATTGTATGACCACTGTCACCAGGGTGTTAGCGACCAGTACAACAGGCGTGAATTTTCCCCTCTTGTGCAAAATGTAGTCGTGTACATATAATTCTGTTTGGAATGCCATTAGTGAATTGGTGAAAAGGAAATGAGGGATCTAATATTTCCTAGATGGATTTTGTTTCTTTTTTCTTTAATCAGATTATTTGGAGTAGGGAGACTTACAGAGAAGCACCCAACATCCCCAGTCCATTCTTAATGTGTCAAGGCTTGTTGAAATGAAACACAAAACAAAGAAAATGTTTAGCTGAGTGACGACACTAACCACTTGTTTGTAAACATAATGGTCATTTTATTTGGCAATTTTACTTAATGCATGATGTAGGCTGCCTAGCATTGTGGGGAGCTGTGACTGGTGGCAGCCATGGTATAGAGATATCAGTGTACAGGCAAATGCTGTGGGGAGCTTTCATTGCTCACACAGTTTTAAGGGAGGGATGAAAAGTATTTCAGTAGGTGACTCCATCAATATGTGACGTCATTACTCAAACCTCAGCAGTTTGTTAGCAGAAAGGTACTCTGCAGTTGAATTTGTTCAGAAGTAAGTCAGCATCACAACAGTTTCAGTTTCTTTTCCGGACTTTGTGTTGGAATACCTTCAATGACCTATAAAAACATTTGTGGGGAACACCTTTTGCATTCTATCTTGCATGCTGTGAGGCAGTGTGATAATCAGTAATATATACATCCATGATGGACATTTTGTGTACATATGAAAATATTCCTTATCAAACATGTTTGTCAAATACAAAGGAAACGGTAGTTGACTTATATGTTTAGAAAAATAGTACAACAATATTTAGTGCATGCATTTTGTTGGAATCTGGGTATTTTGTAAAGTGCTCATTTGAAACCATGAATCATCACTAGTAACTGCAGCCACATGTCTAAGGGAGATAACTCTCATTTGTGTCAATTTCAATTGAATCGTAATTATCAATTTCCATGTCTTTAATGATTGATTGTATGCTACATGTTTTTCTGGGTTGAGGGCCTCCTTGACAACAAGGGCATTTATGTTAACAAAGTTATATTATAGCGAAGTGATGTAAGTTTCATTAAATCACAGGTTGTTGACAAAAGGGGCAAATTACATGTTGTCTCTGAGGTATGTATGCTTATATCAGTGTTGTGCATTTCAAGGTTCGGATTTGGTGCATGTTACATATTTATTCACTGACAAAAGAGAAATATGTCAGACACCGATTGCTTTGCACTTTGTATAAGAGCATGTTTGGACAAAATAGATTAATAGTGCAACAGGCAAATTACTTACGTATTCTGTTGCCATACAGAAATGGTTTGATGGCTTGCTTTGTATTACCATGATAACAAATAGAAATGGCATCTATTTGAGCAGGGCAGTATTTATCAAGTGAATAATTGATAATCAAAATAAGATTTCAAGTGATTCTCCTTTTGTGTTCTTTCATATTTTGAGGGTAAGACTTACAAAAATCAATTGGTTTTAAAATTTGTTTGATTTTTTTCTGAATTTAACATTTCTTTGTATGAATGTTTTTATTTGAGAATTTATTGCATATGAATTACGAAATTATGGCCCATATAACCCACAAATTGCTATAATATGTCTGATTATGAATAGTTTAAATGTCCGATATAAGATATGAGGAACTGACATGGCCATTATATAACATATGAGGAACTGACATGGCCATTATATAACATATGAGGAGCTAATATACGACTGCTTGAACATATGAACAGCAATGGCCAATATAACATATGAATACAAGGCACTCACTATAGATGGGTACAGGATCACCAAGTCACATTTAGTTTTATGATGTAAACAGATACTTTCTGTTCATCACATTATACCTAGTTCTTGTCCACATTAGGTCACTTGAGCGATGGGAGATGCATTGTTTGAAAAGTCTGCTGTACGTCAAACTTCAGTGTCTGCACTAAGTGCTTAAGGTTCTTCTATGTTTAGACTACTCTCTGTTTGTACAGGATGTATACAGTATATGTTCATCACAAACATGTCATAATCAAAACATGAAAACGTGTTCACAGTTTAAACTTGGTATATAAATTGTTTCTTGATGTTTCAAAATAAGAAAAAGAAATTGGGTAATTCAGTTCATTTGTCATTTTGGGTTCCTATTCCAAAATGCCCACCCTCTACTGGACCAGTCTGTAAGTAATACTAAATTGAAATAACATGCCATAGTTTGTGTTTATAGTATACATTGTTGTCAAAAAAACAGCAGTGCAAACAATGTATATAACTGCCTTGTAACTATTACTGAAACTATCCATCCATGCTGGATCTAAGTTTGTTCACTACATCTTGAATTTCTGACACAAATTTAACTCATTGTGTATGGTTTAGATAAGGGTGAGGCTCTGGTTCTTGTACACAGGGTGCTTATCACCACAAATATGGTGTATAGGTTTGTATATACCCGGGGTAAGTCATTATGGCTATAATTAAGGTCATAATGATGTAAAATAAATTGTATGTATAAAAAAATGCAGTAGTACAATTGTATATTAAATGCAAACTGTGTATAACATTTAAGAAATGTCTCAAAACGTTCATCCTCCAGTGATGGAAACAACCAGACAACAGAAAATAAGCATTTTAATTGGACCTTTTAATATTAATTTCCTTATGATGTTTTGTAGGAGCTGTTCCAGGCTCGGAACCACAAAGATAGCCTGGCTAGTATCGCCATCTCCACATCCCTCAACAAGGCTGCTTCTTGTGGAGACAACTGGTAGGTTGGTTATTTAATATCACATTTCAATGTGAAACAATGTGTGATGAAGTGAAATCGGGTTATGGTCATGTTAAAGAATGTCTTACACAGCTACATAAATGTATGGCTGCTCGTGATAGCCCAGATATTGGCAAGCTTCATTGTGCTAGCCCAGTGAGATACTAAGACAGTTCTTTTCACAGTTACTATGATGTATTTTGTGTCAGTCAGGTTCTGCTGATCAAAGGTTTCACAGGTTTGCCCCAGACATTAGACTTTGTCTTTTCCACACTTGTTTGTGGGTTTGATCAAAATTGTAAATGAATACAATGGCATCCCTCCCTCATGAAGCCGACATCCAATGATATCAGTCTATGACTTAGGCAGGGATGGACATGGGTCTATACATTTGCAAGTCCAAGGAAGCAGAGGTAGTTTGTTGGATTAATTCTATTGGCCTCAGGATGCCTTAGTCATTTGACATAATGACTTGAGCCAGCAGGCCAGTACTCCATTACACCCTGGTTGTAATCTGAACAGAACTCAATGTGCAGTTTACCACAAGGACATTTAGGTTATCAACCAGTCTCGGTTTGGCAGTACAATTTTGAATACAGAGCTGATGTTTATTGATAGTGTCATTGCTGGGAAGATTATTCAGCTTTAACAGTGTTAAATGAAACCTCTTTTTATCAGTTTCATAATCACCTTCCACATATTCTGCATAGATTTTCTGAATAAACTTTCTGATATTGTTTGTGTCCAAATAGGTTACCCATTGAGTCTGCCTGTTCTGTGGTTCCATAAATAATTGTCTCACATGGCAAAGTGATACTGAATAGATTGACGTACTGAAGTTGGTTCTTAATGTCATAATGCTTACTCTATTGACCCTGTGTTTTCAAGTTGTCCGATCAAGTCACATGTGCATTCAAAGGATCCTGTATCACACAAACATCATCAGTCTACTGATCATGTTCACTATCTGTGATTGTCATGATTCCAGCATCAAGATCCATGATCTGTCTGACTTGAAGGAGATGTATGCTATCATCACACTGGAAGATGAGAGAGGCCTGGACAAGATTGCCTGGACAGACGATGGTCAGCTGTTAGCTGTGTCCACTCAGAAGGGAAACCTGCATGTGTACCTGGCTCGGCTGCCTATGCTGGCCGCGGTCACTCAAACACGTATAGCCCATCTCACATCACTGCTGGAGGTCACTATCGATGACCTAGTCACTAAGGTATGTATGCAACCCCCTCAGGGGCATCAGTATTGGTCACCAATACTTCTTAAATCTATATAGGGAGAATTATATGTGGATTTTCAACTATATCTTTAACCATGTACATTCTTTCAGGAGCCGTCCATTACAATAGCTATTGAAGTGGAACCATCGTTTCTTGGAATTGGCCAGTACCATGTTGCTGTGGGGATGAACAATAGAGCCTGGTTTTATCTCCTTGGTGATGATGGTTAGATGGAGTTCACTTAATTCTCTCAACATGGATTTCACTAAAAATTGTACATCAAGGGTTGATTGCTTATTTCCAGCTGTCCCTATTCCTCTAACATTGGATGAACTTTTGTATAAACCCCATGCACAATGCCTCTAGATTAGGATAGTGATAAATTTGATGTTATTGTTTACTGAGTTCAGAACTTGTTTATCTCTTCATGTTAAACCTTATAGAAACTAATGTGCATGCACCAGTTTTATAACATTTTGTGACCTAGTCATATCTTTAGGACAACTGAAAGTTATTTGGATAACATGAGGATGCCCTAGACTCACTGATGGTTCAGACTACTGTGGTTCTCTGTGTCAGGTCCCCAGAGACTGAAGGACCGGGAGTACCTGGGAACAGTGCAGTCCATCAGTCTGAATGGCGACTACGCTGCAGTGAGCTTTGAAGGCAAAGTGCAGCTCCATATGGTGGGTTGTAGAGCGGTTTTGATGGGAAGCATGGGATGTTGGGGTAGGTGATGGGTAACGGGTGAGTAGGGTATAGTTGGTTAAGATACATTGTGGGTAGGTAATGTAGGCCAGTTGCTTGGAAGGATTGGTTATTGTGACGAGTAGAGGATGGTGTGTAGGGTAGAGTAGGCGAGATAGGAAGTGTATTGAAATGATGGATTTTGTAGGGTAGCCTGGTGGGTGTGTAGAATAGAGTAGAGACAGGTAAGGTAAGGATTGGTTCAGGCATATGAAAGATAGCTCAGACACAGGTACTTACTGTAGGGAAGGGTAGAATGGTACTGGTGGTTCTTAGAGTAGGAGGGATTCTAGGGATGCATGCTTGGTGGATGGGCAGGGTAGGGTGGTTGTCAGTTGGGTTGGGAAGGTTGATGAATGTTTGGGGTAGGTTATGACACTGGTGGGATGGGTTCATGTGGGTAAGGTTGGATAGTTTTATCAGCAACTACTAATTATGTTTTGCAATTATTGTAACTCAAACCAAAAAATTCAGAAAGGCAATTTTAAGCTTCAATTCTATTTATGAAGGTGATTGTTTCATTCCTGATGTGTGATCAGATTGAAGGGGAGACAACTGTATGAAGGTGATTGTTTTATTCCTGATGTGTGATCAGATTGAAGGGGAGACAACTGTATGAAGGTGATTGTTTTATTCCTGATGTGTGATCAGATTGAAGGGGAGACAACTGTATGAAGGTGCTTGTTTTATTCCTGATGTGTGATCAGATTGAAGGGGAGACAACTGTATGAGTTATATTCCTGATGTGATCAGATTGAAGGGGAGACAAGTGTATGAAGGTGATTGTTGTATTCCTGATGTGTTATCAGATTGAAGGGGAGACAAGTGTATGAAGGTGATTGTTGTATTCCTGATGTGTGATCAGATTGAAGGGGAGACAAGTGTATGAAGGTGATTGTTTTATTCCTGATGCGTGATCAGATTGAAGGGGAGACAACTGCATGAAGGTGATTGTTTTATTCCTGATGTGTGATCAGATTGAAGGGGAGACAACTGTATGAAGGTGATTGTTGTATTCCTGATGTGTGATCAGATTGAAGGGGAGACAAGTGTATGAAGGTGATTGTTGTATTCCTGATGTGTTATCAGATTGAAGGGGAGACAAGTGTATGAAGGTGATTGTTGTATTCCTGATGTGTGATCAGATTGAAGGGGAGACAACTGTATGAAGGTGATTGTTGTATTCCTGATGTGTGATCAGATTGAAGGGGAGACAACTGTATGAAGGTGATTGTTGTATTCCTGATGTGTTATCAGATTGAAGGGGAGACAACTGTATGAAGGTGATTGTTTTATTCCTGATGTGTGATCAGATTGAAGGGGAGACAACTGTATGAAGGTGATTGTTTTATTCCTGATGTGTGATCAGATTGAAGGGGAGACAAGTGTATGAAGGTGATTGTTGTATTCCTGATGCGTGATCAGATTGAAGGGGAGACAACTGCATGAAGGTGATTGTTTTATTCCTGATGTGTGATCAGATTGAAGGGGAGACAAGTGTATGAAGGTGATTGTTGTATTCCTGATGTGTTATCAGATTGAAGAGGAGACAACTGTATGAAGGTGATTGTTGTATTCCTGATGTGTGATCAGATTGAAGGGGAGACAACTGTATGAAGGTGATTGTTGTATTCCTGATGTGTGATCAGATTGAAGGGGAGACAAGTGTATGAAGGTGATTGTTGTATTCCTGATGTGTGATCAGATTGAAGGGGAGACAACTGTATGAAGGTGATTGTTATATTCCTGATGTGTGATCAGATTGAAGGGGAGACAACTGTATGAAGGTGATTGTTGTATTCCTGATGTGTGATCAGATTGAAGGGGAGACAGCTGTATGAAGGTGATTGTTGTATTCCTGATGTGTGATCAGATTGAAGGGGAGACAACTGTATAAAGGTGATTGTTTTATTCCTGATGTGTGATCAGATTGAAGGGGAGACAAGTGTATGAAGGTGATTGTTTTATTCCTGATGTGCGATCAGATTGAAGGGGAGACAACTGTATGAAGGTGATTGTTTTATTCCTGATGTGTGATCAGATTGAAGGGGAGACAACTGTATGAAGGTGATTGACTTATTCCTGATGTGTGATTAGATTGAAGGGGAGACAACTGTATGAAGGTGATTGATTTATTCCTGATGTGTGATCAGATTGAAGGGGAGACAACTGTATGAAGGTGATTGTTGTATTCCTGATGCGTGATCAGATTGAAGGGGAGACAACTGTATGAAGGTGATTGTTATATTCCTGATGCGTGATCAGATTGAAGGGGAGACAAGTGTATGAAGGTGATTGTTGTATTCCTGATGCGTGATCAGATTGAAGGGGAGACAACTGTATGAAGGTGATTGACTTATTCCTGATGTGTGATCAGATTGAAGGGGAGACAACTGTATGAAGGTGATTGTTTTATTCCTGATGTGTGATCAGATTGAAGGGGAGACAACTGTATGAAGGTGATTGTTTTATTCCTGATGTGTGATCAGATTGAAGGGGAGACAACTGTATGAAGGTGATTGTTTTATTCCTGATGTGTGATCAGATTGAAGGGGAGACAACTGTATGAAGGTGATTGTTGTATTCCTGATGTGTGATCAGATTGAAGGGGAGACAACTGTATGAAGGTGATTGTTTTATTCCTGATGTGTGATCAGATTGAAGGGGAGACAACTGTATGAAGGTGATTGACTTATTCCTGATGTGTGATCAGATTGAAGGGGAGACAACTGTATGAAGGTGATTGTTGTATTCCTGATGTGTGATCAGATTGAAGGGGAGACAACTGTATGAAGGTGATTGTTTTATTCCTGATGTGCGATCAGATTGAAGGGGAGACAACTGCTGCCACAGATGAGCGAGAGACCCGATTGTTTCCTGGGAAGGATGACCGAGATGTTCGCATCACCTGCCATGACATGACACCAGAGTTCCTCATCTATGGCACAGATGTATGTAACGTGCAGCAGAACAGCTAAACCATCTCATCATGTTTGCATTAGACAACTGTCATTTCACATATCATTATTATGTTTTTCTGATGAAAATACCTTCAAGCATTGTAATTTGGTAAATCAAATGTGGAATACATGTAATTTCATTACATTGAGATTTGCAGTGTAATAGATTTGGGAACACTATCTATTTATCTGGACACTGATTTGTGTGTGAGGCCTTATAGAGATTTTTGCATAAATATGTTTAATGCAGGAAGCAAAAAACTAAATAAATAGACTTCATCCAAAGTTCCTTGTAAAAATGAATCCCAAAAAATATTTTCATATTTCAATATTGAAATTGAAAGGGAATGTAATGGCGTGTTTGACAAGGAGTGTGCACTAACGGACCCTCAGTGATACAGATGTCTTACTTTTATGTCATCATTTTTTATAGAGAGGAGATGTCCGCTACTTCTTCATCGAGGACTGGCAGTTTGTTGTGGAGTACCGTCACCTGGCTGGCATCAGGAAGCTCTTCCCTGACCCAAGCGGCACCCGGCTGGTGTTTGTGGATGAGAAGACAGATGGCTATGTCTATAATGCAGTAAGATCATTAATGTCAGGCTTCTGCTATGTCAGTCTGTGCCACAACTTGTGGGAGTACTTTGTTCTTAGCATCATCTCAAATATTTAGTCATAATATTGACTAAGATCAGCTGAGAGTAACAGGCTGAAAATATATTACTACACTCTGGATCAAGACTTGTGGATTATGTCCCAGATTTGTTAGTCCTGTTGGGATTCCAGGGAGGAGTCCCCAGTACCCTTTGCTTGTTGTGCAGGCTGCATGGCATAGGAGTAATATGGCCTTGTACCATGATGGCATGGACCACTGTGCTCTATTTTGTATGCCTAGTTTGTTGTTGATTGTAGTGTTAAGGTCTTGCTTTCACATGAAAGTGTTAGGATGTCATATCTGAAATAGCCCTCACCCTCACACACATCCATCAGTTTACACACACACACATGGTAACAGCCATGCCCTCACACACTCTTGTCCTTACCCACATACATACCTCACACAGACACTGGTATTCCTTGTGCTTGAATACAGTGGACATGTGCTATTTTGATTCCAACCTTATGTGACCTATCTTGTTCAGGTGAATGACACAGTGATCGATATCCCCAACTTCTCAGCCTCCATCAAGGGAGTTCTGTGGGAGAACTGGCAGCTGGACAAGGTAGGCATAGTGCCAGCTCATGCTGTACTGTAATGTGAATTTAAAACATAGATATCAATCAATCGTTTCCCGACAACAAGCCATCACCATGATTCTCAAGACCAGAAATAGTGTGCCAATTAATCTGTACCTTAGTATGCAAGATAGTGTTGTTTTTACATACTCTGGATGTAAAACAGTTGTGACTGAATGTATTAATCTGTCATATGAAATTTATTTAAGATACCATTTATTCATTGTTTGTATAAATTTAGGCAATATCTTGCCTGAAGAGAATCACAGAGTATATCAACTCTCGATCATATACAACAATCACAGTCAGTTTGGAACTACTCATGCTTTGAAATGAACAAATCAAATAAAATCAAATCATGTTAATTTTGATTTTGAGGCCATCAGCCTGTGTACAATACAGTACCCCATGATCAACAATACAGGAGAGTAGCACACATTGTGCTGTGACAGGTGACAATAGTGATTTCCTATATGTTACAGCTACTTTGAATGACATGTCATGAATGATTTTTGGACCTTAGTTGTCTGAAACTTCAGATACATTTATAGATTTAACATTTCCTTTGTTGTGTGGTCAGTAGTAACACCCCTCCGTGGTTCTTTTACAGAGCGTGTTTGTGGCATATGACAGCGAGAAGTTGTACACGTATGTGTACTGCCGGGAGTCCGTGACAGGTACACCTGAGATCATGACCCCGATGTATTCCGGGGGCTTCATGGAGGCCCCTGGGATGGGGGTGTCAGTCTGTAAGTAGGGGGTTCAGGGCAGGGCACCACAGAGTTCAATACACAGTGGAGCACAGTTCAGAGAATTCTGATTCAACTAACTCGTTATACTGGCACAAGGTGGGACTGCAGGAGATGGTGACTTCACTGTTTTTTTGTCAACTGTTCATCGCCCAGAAGATATCTTTTTTATGGGGCAGATAGATGTAGTTTCAAATGCTTAATATGTTAGCGGATGAATATTCTAAACAGATATTTGTCACGGGTTTCAGCACACATCATTTTTATAACAATAATGAAATGGTTAGATAGACTGTATCTTGTCTGGAAGTATGCATTGTCTGTAGTCATTTGATATATGATTGACTGCAAACAATAACAGCAATTTGGACTGTGGCTTCTGAAAGCAATATCAGTGCAAACGTTATGTTGGGCGACCAAGGTGTGTTATGAGAATGCTTCAGTAAGTAAGTGGCTGCCATTTTCTTAAGACCAAAAGCATTATTGGGAATGATCTTGGTTGTCATTTGTAATATTTATCAAGGAAGGGAACAAACTTACAAATGGCTGTACATATTGTTAAATCTTATATATTTTTTATGTGAATCCAAAGAAATACACTTAGCATCTCAATATGCAACCCACTCAGATTATGTATGTGTTGTTGAAGATTTGTTAAAAGTTAACCAGTATATCAGTAAATACAACTGATCCAGTATGTAGTCTGTATTTAGGATGTGAATCAGCATGTAAGCATTTCACATTGTTGAAGTAAGATTTGGCACCAGTATGTACTTACACAGGTATTGTCTTTTCCAACTTGTTTTACTATTGGGAATAGGATAAACTGTGTGCCTTGGTAGCACTGATTAACTACACAGAAGGTGTTTAACTAACTGCATGAATCACAGAGTTGTCACTTGATGAACTAACTACCAATGTGAGGCAGGCACCCCAGTATAATACCATCCTCTATTTTTCTCTATGTCTCAATCTGAGCATTGGGGACATAGTTTGAGTCTCCATAATTTTCTGTGGAGAATTATGATCCTTTGGCAGTAACCTTTCATCAGTAGACAGAGTCCCTGATTGGCCCTGGCTGTTTTTCCTGGTTTGTCATCACTGTAGCCATGCTCATGGATTTCATGCTCAACATTTCTGGATCTGTCTCCAAGATATACGTTAAATACTGTTCAGAATGGCATTAAACTAAATTCACTTATTTATTCACTATACTTGTCTTGTGCAGATTTTAGTGTCCCAAGTATGTTTTTCTCTTAAAAGAGGGGCAGTAGGGTAGCCTAGCGGTTAAAGCATTCGCTCGTCATGCCAAAGACCAGGGATCGATTCCCCACATGGGTATGTTGTGAAGGGCCCGTTTCTGGCCTCCCCCGCCATGATATTGCTGGAATATTGCTAAAAGTGGCATAAAACTAAACTTAATCACTCACCCAATCTTAAAAGACGTCAGTGAAAGAAGGACTGGTTGTTTGTTATCAGTGAATCAACTGCTAGTGTGTCAATGTACTCTACCTAGTGGAGCACTTCTCTACTCCTCATACATGCCTGCCACTGTGCAGGGCTGAGGACATGACTGGAAACTGTATAAACACCCAAATTACATATGTTAGTTTCCATATTGACTACTGTGTTAAATACTGGGCTGCCTGTTCCATTGTATCAATCACTTAAAGTATTATTAATAAGATTGACTTACATGTTATCTAAATGTGTTTAATAAGTTATATCTATCTATACGACAGTATATTGAATAAATAATGTTCTTTTAAATTTCGAATTTTATGAATATAGCTTTAGTACTTTGACTCATGACATTTCAATAATGGAATCCAAGTAAGGGAAGAAGATTATCTTATATGACTGTGTTTACGTCCAGGTTCACAAGTCCTGTATGTGGGGGAAACCCGCCTGCCATATGGCCAGATACCGATCATGCTACACAATGGGGAGATAACTCTGCAGACTCAGAGTGGAAAGCTTGGCAACCTGCAGCTGGACACCCACTCTCATGTCTTCCATGAGAATCCCCAGGATCTGAAACCTGCTGAGGTCAGTTTTATCCAACCTTAAATGTTTGTAGATTATCGTTTTCACTATACCTTCACGTCGTGTCTGCATATTTTCCAGAACTATTGACATGTTAGACCCTGTGTGTAATATTTGGTAGTAGAACATTTTATTTAATATAAACACAATATTGTTGAATATCTTTGTGGGGTATTTTCAGCTATATATGTCTCCAGATTTACTGTGTTAAAATGAGAGTAAAATATGACTTTGTACTTTACAGCTTTTAACTGCTGCCCAGCAATGTATCAAGCTAAGAAGGTAGGCCAAAGCAGCTGGTGACTGTAAATATCAGTGTTAGAATTATTTGTCAGTAATCCATGTTGTCATAATACGCAACAGGAATGGCTGGATACATGTAATCGTATCTCAATCGCATCCATCACTGCTCATGATGTTGAATCTCTGGATTGTCTGACATTGACATTATATTATGGCCATTATATATTATGTTTTGAACTTCCTTAATATCCTCAGAGATCACGGCTCCAGATAAGGGCCGTATCGGCGTATGTGCAGATACAAAATATGTAGGATACGGTTGGAAATAATTTAGAAAACGCAGCAGATACGCACCACAGCAATGGTGTACGGTCTTAGAATCATTTACAGACGTATTCATCTGAAAAAAGTATTGTTTTATTTTTATTCATTGACCTGTGTACACAAGAGTAGCAATGTTGTGGTGCATATATGAAACGAAACAAGATTACTGATACTCCATTAATTTCCATTCAGTACTCTAAATGTACACTTAAGGTTTTCCAGTACTCTTATATTGAACAAATAAGGAGTACGTACTCCTGATGTTGAAAATTTATCTGGAGCCCTGAGAGAGTGTGACATAGCTATGCATATAATGTATTGACTGGTAAGGAATGATAATAACTATGTGTATGTTTGCTGCAGATTCCGAGATGCATGGATCTTCTGCCATCATGTGAACAGGAGCGAGGTTTGGGTGGAACTGGGAAGGGCAGCACTGCACAGCCTGGACCTGGACTTCGGTGAGTCACTCATCCTATCTGTCTAAAGAACATCACCTGGTTATGTAGACATCATTCGATGTGATGGAGTCATCCAGTGACTTATTGTTCTTAATTTCTTCCAGCTATCAGAGTGTACAGGAACATTGGTGATGTTGGCATGGTAACCTCCTTGCAGAAGGTCAAGGTGAGTACAAAGGTCATCACTGTGAAATTGTCACTGTAGAACAGTTTGTCATGGGGAACATTTCAGAGTTTTTTTACTTAAAATGGCAGTCACTGTAAATGGAACTGATGGAAAGTCTCCTATACTTATCAGCATTTTGGAGCCTCTGCAGGAAACAAGGACAATGGTTAATTTATGTAATCAAAGATAGACATGGATAGTTACTTGATAGCTACGAGACTAGATACACTCATTATCATACTCATGTTGCTGCTCTGTTTCCAGACAATAGAGGACAAGAACCTGCTGTCTGGCTACATTGCTATGTTCCTTGGAGAATTCAACTCTTCCCAGGATCTCTTCCTGGCGTCAAGCTATCCCCTGGCTGCCCTAGAGGTATGTGTTCTATTTTCTCATTGCCATTACAAGCTACTTCTTTTGACACAAATGTTACATTGATTTAATAATGTTGAAACACCTGTAAGTTATTCTCTGTATGCAACTGTTGCAGATGCGTCGAGATCTGCTTCACTGGGATAGTGCGCTGCAGCTAGCCAAGGCTCTGGCTCCAGAGCAGATCTCGTACATCTCACGGGGAGTACGCCCAGCAGCTGGAGTTCACTGGAGACTACATGAACTCTCTGTCTCACTATGAGAAGGGGATCACCAGGGAGGAGAAAGCAAGGGAACACGATGAAATCTGTGCTGCTGGCATTGCTCGCATGTCCATTAGGACTGGAGACATTCGCAGGTGCGGGCTTGTTTTACCCATAGACATTCAGATATTCAAATGAAGTTTCAGTCTCAGTAATTCTCACTGACAGTCATCATGTTGGCTATCTACCCTTAAATGTTCAGTTGTTGTTTTATGTAATAGTAATGTGTCCTGTGTCCTAGTAGCTTGCGGCTTTTGTTTCAGGGGTGTTGCCATGGCAATGAAAATGTCCAGCAAGAGCCTGAAGAAGGAATGTGCAGGTATCCTGGAGAGTATGAAGGTGGGACAATTTTGGTCATCACAGCTGCTAATATATCTCAGGTCCACCTTTGTATTTAAATATGTACCCAACAGAAGATTTTATGCAAACAATTGCATCACTTTTCCAAATGTGTAAAACATTTTGTTGGGTACATAGTAATATATACAGTTATGTTCCTGAGGTATGTTTGTTGTCCCTGTGACAACAGCAGTCCTGACATGCTGGGCTAATGTATGTAAATATAGACCGAAAGTGATTTGTGGCATTTGATTGGATAATTAACCATGTAGTATTCTTAGAAAAGGACCCTGCCCACTGCCTACTATTTCCTGAATGGCTGTAACAGAATGGGCGGGTTTGTCACTGATTTTGTGTTTTATCTGCCCTTGTGTTTGTGTGATTGGTTAAACAGGTTCTCATGATTGCGAAGTTCTTATTTGTGGCACATTGTTTATGAGAATTGACTTCAATGTGATTGTCATTATGGAGTCCTAAACGTGAAAAATGTGTTTACGTTATATAGCGCACTTTGCCACAAGTATTTACACGTATGCATGCATTTCATATTTTTATACATCCATAAATGCAGAATTCATTGATGTGAAATGTTTTCAAAGAAACTACTGGTAAATCCAATGCACAGTTATGTATTACATATTAAACCGGAACATGTTTTGTTAAGAATTACTTTAAAGTACACATAAATACCAACATCACATCTAAATAGTGTTAGTGAAGTCTATATGACATGTAGTGTAGCCATAGAATGAGCATGAATTTCTTCTACAAATTTCTTTGTGTTCCAGCAATGGACAGAAGCAGCAACTCTGTATGAGCAAGGCCACTACTACGACAAAGCAGCTTCAGTCTACATCAGAGGCAAAAACTGGTATGAGTCTTTGTTTGGTAACCACTAAAGACTTTTCTTTTTCTTTATCCTGAGAAACTAGTTGCTTATCTCTTCATTCTCCCAAAATGTGGTGGAAACTTCCCGAAAACGTAAGGGCATTTCACCTGAATGCAGCCTCGCCAAAGGCACAACAGAACCATGTGGCCATGCTGGCTGATTAGTCACTCATGCTAGTTGGGATTTGTTTTCTGTGCTTATAATCCAAGCCATCCTGGTTATCTATATGGTTCCAGATTTTCGACTCAGCTCATGTTCTTCTAAATTAGCTCAATCATATCCACTATTCATTTTTCAAGTTTGGTGGTTAATTTGTTGATTTCAAAGAATATTTAGTTCATTCAATTTTGCTGCTGCATTTTCTAAATTCATGTTCAATATTTACAAAGCATTCCCATGTTATCTTCTTCAGGAATAAGGTCGGGGAACTACTACAGCACATCACCTCCCCGAAGATCCATGCTCAGTACGCCAAGGCCAAGGAGGCTGATGGCAGATACAAGGAGGCTGCAGAGGCTTACAAGATGGCTAAAGAGTGGGACCATGTCATCAGGTATGTCCAGCCTATTCATATCATGGACACACCATTATACATTATTGGGTAAACACAGCACAGCTCTCCTGCCACAGTGAATCCATGGGGATTGTGGTAGCTGGTGTGGATCAATACTGGTCAGCCATTCAATTGTCTGACCCAGACTCTTTTATTGAAAGCTTGATAAGTTCTTGCTGAGGTATAATTGACTCATCTTGAAATACATATGCACTTTCACACAAAGTTAAATAATCAATATGAAGACAATTATTTAGTTTACTTATCTGGCACTTTCATAATTGTTGATAAGAAATCTAGCAAAGAAAGCTGAATGTCTTTGCTTACATTCAGACGTACTTATGCTTATACGTACCTGTTAAGCTACCTACCGTAAGTCTAGTGGAAACGAGGTGTAAACACAAAACAACCCCACCTGAGCAGTTACCTCCCCTTCCCTGTCACCAATCTTTCCTGAGCTCCGTACCTGTAGGACGTGGAGAATAAAGCTCTCTATATTTCCTTTGTTGGAAGTGTTGTTAGAGTTGTCCAGTAAAGTTTTACTTACCTTTTTTCTTGGGGTAAACATCTTGGTTGCTTTGTTGACTTTTTTCCGGGATCGGATGGAGGAGACTGTCGTCGTCGACGATTTATCGTCCAGAGTTAAAGGTTCTACTGAGCCGTCTCCCGCTGTCACTTCGCCATCTTGTGTCAATCCGGGTGCATTGTCTGTCAACCAACCAGAATCGGGGTCAAAAAGTGGGTCATCGACTACCGACTGGAGTGTTCTGGTTGATTTGTATGGAAGGATTGACGTGGTCGACCGGATCGTTACAACCCCACGGATAAATGGGACAGTTTTGAGCATTCCGTGGATCGAGTCCCTGAACACTATATGGATTTGCATTATGACCACTATGATAGAACGGATACTGAGTCATCTCGGCAGTTTGACGATTTTCGTCCGTCTCTGTATGATCGCCCTCCTTGTTATGATTATGACAGGTCAAGGTCTGCTACTCCTTCCCGTTATGGCCGGGGGCGTTCTTATGAGGAGGATTACTCGTCTTCACGTCGTCGTTCTCCTTATCCTTACGCGCGTAGTCGTTCTCCCTGACGTCGACCTCCTACATTGACTACCACTTCGTCCAGTGTGTACCCTGATGTCTCGCCGTCTAGTTCGGCGTCAACTCCTCGTTGGATGTCCAACTTTATGGACGCTTATGATGCATCAAACCCCACGGCTGGGTGTTTTCAACTTGGAAACACCCCAGACTCTCTCAGGTTTTCTTACAATGTCTAAGCTCCCGGAACAACACACTTGGCCGCTTTTTACGGGAAAAATGGACTTCCTCTCAATTTTTCAATGGAGCCATTCCTTCAGTTTTGGACAAGTACTCACTGGAGAGCGAGAAACAATTGATTATATCGTCTACCCAGCGACCTGTACGTCGCCAGCCGGTCCACAATGTTCCTGAACAACGATACTGACATCGTCATGTTCAGAAGGTTTTTCGAGCCAACCATTCGACGATCTGTTGGAGATAGAAGACGGGTGTCCTTTTCCATGCCTCTATACGGAGGCAAGGGCACTTGGGGGAAGAAATGACTTTCCTCTCTCCCCAGAGAGAGATCCGATTTCTTCTCCAGTTGCTCAACTATTAGAAATGCTACCGGTTGGGGGGAGGCTTCGGTTCTTTTCTCAGAGTTGGGCCATTTTAGACGACCCGGGGTTACGCCCCCAGACTAGACAAGATTCCACCGTTAACGTCGTCCCCCTTGTTGGGGACTCCACCAACGGCCTGGCTGACGGAGGCCATCAACACGTTGGTAGCGAAGGCGTCCGTGTTATGCCTGGGACCCTCGGTGACATCATCCGGCTTTTACTCCCCTATCTTCCTCGTTCTGAAGTAGAACTTGTCCAAAACGCGCCTCATCTTCAATCTGAAGCATTTCAGTGCCACGTATCTCCATCTGCCGGACAAGTTCACAATGTTCTCTCTCAGTTCTCTTCATCGGATGGTTCTGCCAAACGATTTTCTCATATCGATAGACCTGCAGGACGCCTTTCTACATGTTCGATTCACCTGATGTTCGGGCGCTTGCGTCAACATTGGCTGTCCATGATAACTGTTCCCTCCAGGCTATTATGGAAGGCTGTTTTGGGAAATCCACTTCGGTTTTCGCCTCTCACTATTTGCGGGATATCTCGACGGCAGATGTTGCAGGCATCCAGCAATTCGGGCCCTTAGTTGTCGCGCAACAACTTCCCTCCTCCCATCGTCAGTGACTCTTGCCTTCAGTATCTCGACTTTGTGTACTTACTGCAATAAACTGTTGGTGAACGTGATTCACTCTTGTTCTTTATTGCCAGACATCCTTACGATCCCATGGTTTCCTTTACCGCTTGTTGTGGTTTAGTTCCCTTGGTTATTGCTCACGTTGGACTTTGTTACCTCAGCTGAGACTCATGCTATATCTTCGTCGTTCTTAGTGAAGTCTGACCTTATTGTGATTGTGTAGTTGTTGTTTTTACTTTATGTCTTGGGTACAAACAACCATCCTTGTGAAGTCTGTCAATACTACATGTCACCAAGCGGTGGGTCGGCTTCACATAGGCAATTATGTGGTTGGGCCTTGTCCCCACCGACTGCCGGCGGATAAAGCATAATTACAGCTGAATGTATGCTAAAACATGGGTTTTTCAGATTAAAAACATTGTTTTAAGAAGCTTACATTCAGACGTACGGTTTAGTCCCACCCATCCACCCCTCTGGACTTTGGCCTGTTTGTTGCTCTTCTCTGGCTTTCTGCCTTAGGCTCCAGAAAGATTGGTGACAGGGAAGGGGAGGTAATTGCACAGGTGGGGTTGTTTTGTGTTTATACCTCGTTTCCAGTCGACTTATGGTAGGTAGCTTAACAGGTACGTATAAGCATAAGTACATCTGAATGTAAGCTTGTTAAATCAATGTTTTTAATCTAAAAACCCCATGTTTGTTTCTATCCAGGAAAGTAAATGATGTATGGTTTATGTTGAACATCCTTCAACAGTGATTGGCAATGTCTTAAATGTGTATGTGTAATTATCTCCCCTTTGGGACATGTGGGGCCACCTGACATTTAGATGAGAAATATTGTTTAAGAATAGTTATATGTGTCAATTTTAGTTATGCTATTCCACATTTTCAGGATTAACCTTGAATTTCTACAAAACCCAGAAGAAGCTGTTAAGATTGTGCAGGAAACCCAGTCTGTAGAGGGGGCCAAGATGGTTGCCAAGTGAGTACCTCTTGTACCCTGTTCCATCATGCCAGGGAGAAGCCAGGAATAATGTCAGAGATGTGTCACATTGATTTGTTCATGGCCCAGTTTCAATCTGACTAGGTGCAACATGCGTCTTGTTTCTCTGTGTGGGACATGTGTTACATACTTACTGACTTGTGTGCTTGTTGTAGATACAGCAGTTACATCTTGGTCTTGTCAAAGTGAAAACACCACATACTTTTCAACATCCAGAAATGTCAAAATGAACATAGAGTCTTTGACTATATTTTTCTCATCCTACCAACCCTATTTCTTACAATAAGAAAGAAAAAGTAATTGAGGAATTTAAATATGTTGTTATTTTAAGCATCTCGGTTTTGGGCAAAAAAGTGCTTCAAACAGAAAAGCTGTACACATTCTGTAGTGCTACCATGTCTGATGCAGGTTTTTCCAGCGACTGAATGACTATGCCTCCGCTATCCAGTTCCTTGTGATGTCCAAGTGTAATGATGAGGCCTTCCAGCTGGCCCAGAGTCACAACCAGATGGAAGTGTATGCTGACATAATAGGTGCACTCTCAAACTCATTCTTTATGAATTAGTTCTCAGTGTTCACGAATAACGTCTGACCCTCTGACAAAGTGGGCATACTCGCCAACGGTCCGATAGAAATCTACAACCCTCAGGCCCCAGTGTCTGACCGTATATTTCACAATAACTTCGACTGACGTTGTTGTATGTGACATGTTTCACTTTTTTCACTTTGTTTGTTAATAATTTCAATGTCAATTATAAGAAATGTTAAATCTGAAATGTGTGTTTAATTTTATTCTATGGGGCCTGTGAATTTTCAATGGGTCAGACAGACCTCTGAAACTTGCAGGACCCAATGTGCTGTTACTTTGAAGCACCATTCGTGAACACTGAGTTATAGTTGTACAGAATCTTTAGATGGTTTTCGTTGAGGGTTTAGTTCATAATTATACACATATACCATGATTTGTAAAAGCAGATTATTCTTGCAAATGTATGTATATGTGATTGTTTCATGTTTACAAAAGTCAAATAATATTGGCTTCCTGTTATTCAACATAGTCAAGATTAGTTTGTTTACAAAGATATTCACTGATGGTATGGTATGGAAAAATCTCCATTCAAATCTTTCTTAAATCATGAAATAGATATCTTTGCATCAATGGGTCTGCAGTAGATTGTTATGGGTCTTAATGCACTGGCTATGATACTAATTACCACACCTTGTCAGATGTTACTGAAATTGTAAGTTTGAACCCTGTTGTATGTTGAAGGATCTGATGCCACTCCGGAGGACTACCAGAGTATAGCAGTTCACTTTGAAAATGAGAAGAACCACTACCTGTCTGGCAAGTTCTTCCTCCTCAGTGGGCAGTACTCTAGGGTGAGTCTAGCAGACCAAATGTTTAATCCATGCTTTGTCCAATTCTTGGGTATCAGAGATTTAGATGGTAGGAGGGGCAACTGATGTATCTTTTTGATCTGAGCCTGTCAAAGTGAAATGAAAGGGGTGTTTTACAGACTGCCATCCTATGTGGGTCTTTTTACTTTGTGAGTTCTACATCCCTTCTTTTTTTTTTTAAATCATGGATACCTTTCTGTAGATTCAGGGCCAGAACAGGTCCCTGTCATCCTGTGATGGCCGTAAGAGGTGACCAAACGGATTGGGTGTTCTGTGTAATTGAAATAATCACAGACTGATCTGAAGGTCTTGACAACCAAGTTATTGAACACAATTTTCCATACCTGAATGCAAACAAGTTTGTCTCCTCTTTCCACATTCATAACCCTAAGATAGTTTTGGTCTCTTTAAATGTTTTTCACTACTTGGTGCTTAGTACTTACAGAAAGACTGAGGATAGTGTTGGATTTGGATAATATAGTGCTGAATAAGTACCAGTATTGATCTTTAGTAGTATTTCAAAATAAATGCTTTTTGATTAAGTTTGATAATTGATTGTTTGGTGATCCATTTGTCCATCATAACCTAACATCTTCCCACACTAGTGGTAAGGCTTGGTCACTGGGCTGATAGCATGTCGCCATACATATTGTATGATTCATAATATGAACCAGTGGACTGTCTAGTCCAGACTTGATTATTTACAGACCAGTGTCTTATAGCTTCAGTGTTGATGAGTGTGCTTTAGGCTACAAATGAACCAATTCTAAAGACACACTTTGTTATCAGGCCATGAAGCACTTCTTGAGATGTAATGGTGAGGACAGTCAGGCAATAGAGCTGGCAATAGAGACAGTGGGAAGAGCCAACGACGACCAGCTCACCCACCAGCTCATCGACTTCCTCATGGGAGAAACTGACGGCATGCCCAAGGTGAGTTAATAGGAATATGTTGTAGGCAGTGTTTGCACAAAGGTCAGGTTGCACTTAATGCCAGAGCGATCTGTCCGTGTAGTTGTGCAAGATGCACATAATGTAGATGCACATTTCAAGAAGAAAGTCAAGGAACTGGGTCAAATGTGTCTGTATGTGGGCTTGAAGTGTTGTACAGGTAACTGAGGAACTAGGTTGTAGACAGACTTATTGCTACTAAGGTATGTAGGAATATTCACCTCCATTCCACAAAATGATCTTAGCGTCGTTATGATCATAAGTCTGTGTTAATACATGGGATTTACAATAACCTTAGGGCTATGATCTCTTTGTGGAACATGGCTCAGAGTGATTGTATTGTAGCCATTGCGGCAAAGTCACCCTGCTTGTCTACAGGAAACTTAAAACTATACAATGTTGGGAACATATATATGTTATTATGGGTTGTGACAACATATGACTTGCTGTTTTGTTTAGCTTGGAATTCATTTGAAATCTGTGTTATCTTGATTATCAGGGTTTGAAAAACTTACAACTAAACATGCTTGTGTAAGCAGTTATTTTGATTTTATTTTGCTTGCTTTTCTCTCCCAGGATGCTAAGTACCTGTTCCGGTTGTACATGGCCTTGAAGCAGTACAGGGAGGCAGCCCGAACAGCCATCATTATAGCTCGTGAGGAGCAGAGTGCAGGTAGATCACCCATTACATAGATCCATAATACACATATAGAGAGAGATTGATAACACACAGAGAGACTGATCACACACAGATCAGTCACACACCAGGTACATCACCCATTACATAGATCCATAATACACATATAGAGATTTGATAACACACACAGATCAGTCACACACCAGGTACATCACCCATTACATAGATCCATAATACACATATAGAGAGAGATTGATAACACACAGAGAGACTGATCACACACAGATCAGTCACACACCAGGTACATCACCCATTACATAGATCCATAATACACATATAGAGAGAGATTGATAACACACAGAGAGACTGATCACACACAGATCAGTCACACACCAGGTACATCACCCATTACATAGATCCATCATACACATATAGAGAGAGATTGATAACACACAGAGACTGATCACACACAGATCAGTCACACACCAGGTACATCACCCATTACATAGATCCATAATACACATATAGAGAGATTGATAACACACAGAGAGACTGATCACACAGATCAGTCACACACCAGGTACATCACTCATTACACAGATCCATAATACACATATAGAGAGAGATTGATAACACAGACACACACAGATCAGTCACACACCAGGTACATCACCCATTACATAGATCCATAATGCACATATAGAGAGAGATTGATAACACACAGAGAGACTGATCACACACAGATCAGTCACACACCAGGTACATCACCCATTACATAGATCCATAATACACATATAGAGAGAGATTGATAACACACAGAGAGACTGATCACACACAGATCAGTCACACACCAGGTACATCACCCATTACATAGATCCATAATGCACATATAGAGAGAGATTGATAACACACAGAGAGACTGATCACACACAGATCAGTCACACACCAGGTACATCACCCATTACATAGATCCATCATACACATATAGAGAGATTGATAATAACACAGAGAGACTGATCACACACAGATCAGTCACACACCAGGTACATCACCCATTACATAGATCCATAATGCCCATAGAGAGATTGATCCATGATCACACACAGATCAGTCACACACCAGGTACATCACCCATTACATAGATCCATCATACACATATAGAGAGAGATTGATAACACAGAGACTGATCACACAGATCAGTCACACACCAGGTACATCACCCATTACATAGATCCATAATGCACATATAGAGAGAGATTGATAACACACAGAGAGACTGATCACACACAGATCAGTCACACACCAGGTACATCACCCATTACACAGATCCATAATACACATATAGAGAGAGATTGATAACACACAGAGAGACTGATCACACACACAGATCAGTCACACACCAGGTACATCACCCATTACATAGATCCATAATACACATATAGAGAGAGATTGATAACACACAGAGAGACTGATCACACACAGATCAGTCACACACCAGGTACATCACCCATTACATAGATCCATAATACACATATAGAGAGAGATTGATAACACACAGAGAGACTGATCACACACAGATCAGTCACACACCAGGTACATCACCCATTACATAGATCCATAATGCACATAGAGAGAGATTGATAACACACAGAGACTGATCACACACAGATCAGTCACACACCAGGTACATCACCCATTACATAGATCCATAATGCACATATAGAGATTGATAACACACAGAGACTGATCACACACAGATCAGTCACACACCAGGTACATCACCCATTACATAGATCCATAATACACATATAGAGAGAGATTGATAACACACAGAGAGACAGATCACACACACAGATCAGTCACACACCAGGTACATCACCCATTACATAGATCCATCATACACATATAGAGAGAGATTGATAACACACAGAGAGACTGATCACACACAGATCAGTCACACACCAGGTACATCACCCATTACATAGATCCATCATACACATATAGAGAGAGATTGATAACACACAGAGAAACTGATCACACACACAGATCAGTCACACACCAGGTACATCATCCATAACACAGATCCATAATACACATATAGAGAGAGATTGATAACACACAGAGAAACTGATCACACACACAGATCAGTCACACAGCAGGTACATCATCCATAACACAGATCCATAATACACATATAGAGAGAGATTGATAACACACAGAGAAACTGATCACACACACAGATCAGTCACACACCAGGTACATCACCCATTACATAGATCCATAATACACATATAGAGAGATTGATAACACACAGAACGACTGATCACACATACAGATCAGTCACACACCAGGTACATCATCCATTACATAGATCCATAATACACATATAGAGAGAGATTGATAACACACAGAGAGACAGATCACACACACAGATCAGTCACACACCAGGTACATCACCCATTACATAGATCCATAATACACATATAGAGAGAGATTGATAACACACAGAGAGACTGATCACACATACAGATCAGTCACACACCAGGTACATCATCCTTAACACAGATCCATAATACACATATAGAGAGAGATTGATAACACATAGAGAGACAGATCACACACAGATCAGTCACACACCAGGTACATCACCCATTACATAGATCCATAATACACATATAAAGAGAGATTGATAACACACAGAGAGACTGATCACACATACAGATCAGTCACACACCAGGTACATCACCCATTACATAGATCCATAATACACATATAGAGAGAGATTGATAACACACAGAGAGACTGATCACACACACAGATCAGTTACACACCAGGTAAATAACCCATTACACAGATCCATAATACACATATAGAGAGAGATTGATAACACACAGAGAGACAGATCACACATACAGATCAGTCACACACCAGGTAAATAACCCATTACATAGATCCATAATACACATATAGAGAGAGATTGATAACACACAGAGAGACTGATCACACATACAGATCAGTCACACACCAGGTAAATAACCCATTACACAGATCCATAATACACATATAGAGAGAGATTGATAACACACAGAAGGACTGATCACACATACAGATCAGTCACACACCAGGTACATCACCCATTACATAGATCCATAATACACATATAGAGAGAGATTGATAACACACAGAGAGACTGATCACACACACAGATCAGTCACACACCAGGTACATCACCCATTACACAGATCCATAATACACATATAGAGAGAGATTGATAACACACAGAGACTGATCACACACACAGATCAGTTCACACACCAGGTACATCACCCATTACACAGATCCATAATACACATATAGAGAGAGATTGATAACACACAGAGAGACTGATCACACACACAGATCAGTCACACACCAGGTACATCACCCATTACACAGATCCATCATACACATATAGAGAGAGATTGATAACACACAGAGAGACTGATCACACATACAGATTATTAACACACAGTTAATCACTAGTCACTTGCAGTGCCATGTCGAGTGATATATTTACTTGTTTATTCTTCATATGTAGGTTGGGCATTCTAGTTCAATGGTAAATGGTATTGTAATATGCTGTGGAGAGTTGTGGGTAAAGCTGCCTGGAACTGTAGGTGTCAAAGTTGTGGGTAAAGCATGTGTGCAGAGAGTGGAAAGCTTGATTTACAATCAGTTAAAATGGTACTTGTTTGGGCTTGAAATCTGTATACTGTGCCTGAGATGGGTATCCATGTTATACTGTGGCAGGGGATAGACAAGGTAGACAATCAACCACACATGTGCATTCAAGTCACCATACAAGTGACATTTAACCCTATTTGAGCGCTAACATTATACTCCTCATGCAGGTCAGGGCTCATCAATATGTCTAAGTCAGTGGAGGTCACTCTGCATCAATACCAGCTACTAGGGTCCATGAGTGGTGTCTTAAGCACCAGAATGCAGTGTGGAGAGTTGCACCCGAAGACATGTAGCGAACTTTACACCAATAGGTTCAAATCCCAGATTCAAACAGACATTTGGGCTTTCCTCCCACATTATGTTAGCATGCTGTAATGTAATTGAAATGTCTTCAAGGTTGTATTAACCCTATTCTCTCACTGTGTATTACGACCTCCTGGTCATGGGTGTGCATCCCTGATTTATCCTGACTATGATCCACACACAGTAGTATATTGATGTGCTGAATATGCTCAGACCAGTGGTTCAGGGCACTGCCTCTTGCTGTGATAGTTCCCTGCCAGGATTCATTTGTCATAGTTGTCAATCCTTGGTTTAAACTGTTTTGTTAACTGACGATGTAAGTGCACTTTTCACACTTGCCAAACTAGGCTGGAATTTTGTTGCTATTATGAGCTATGTTCCTACTATTTCCTTCCAAATCATATCCCATCTGTCATATCACTTGTGCTTGTTTGCAAAAATGGCAATGTATAGTCAAGATGATCCAAAGAATAATCAAGATCTTTATTGCAATAAAACAAGTTTTGACTTGCTAAATGAATCAAATCAGAGGAGCAAGTAGATTGAAGACATTGGAAGATATTTGTCAATGTCAATGCTACATGTGATTTGTAAATCCTTGAACTGTTGCAGGTAACTACCGCAATGCCCATGATGTGTTGTTCAGTATGTACCAGGAGCTGAAGGACAACAGGATCAAGATCCCAGCCGAGATGGCCACCAACCTCATGATCCTACACAGCTACATCCTCGCTAAGGTAACAATGTACCTCAGACCATTAATGAATTGACCCATGAGACAATGGCCATGTTCGAGATACTGAGATAGTGCCTAATGATTGTGTCGAAATGACCAGCATGCACACCAGATCCTTGTCATAAACATATTCTTTTGACACGTATGTGACAGATATCTAAGAATACACTGGTTACTGATGAACTAGGACATTGTGTTTGGTACATGAACTGGGCCATATCATGTTATGCAAAACAGCAGACAAGTCAAGATCTGTGTAAGAATGGATATTCACCAACCCATGCTTGTTGTAAAAGGCCGGTTCGGATGGTCTGGGTCTCTGACTAGGCTGATGGTTGCCAATTTATCTCAGTTGCAGAAATCGATGTTTAAGTATATCAGTCACTTGGCTGTTTGATCCAGACTCAGTTGTTTAAAGACATGTATTCATAGAGCAACCATGACAACAGATCACAAAACAGCAGAGGAATCAGTTGAAAGAGAAGGAACCAGTCTAAGTAAACTTAGGCTCAGTATTATTCGTTACACTGCTATACTGAGTCTAACAAAACCTTGTGGAAGGTCGCGACAGGTAACCTTTTCAATTGACCAATCAGAACACAGCTTACCAAATTGCGAAAGTAGACATTCGCACATACCTTTTGAACTTTTACCTCGAATTTTTTTGTACCCGAACAATTCCGAATGCTATCTTCCGTACGATCGCTTCCGAGTGATGCACATGGAGCACGCCACAACAGTGAGTAAACAGTTGCTGAAAATATCGTTTTGTCAGTATTCAAGGATGTCAGCTTGCTGAAAATATTAGCTAATGATAGCCATGTCAACAGAAACTCAAAAGCGTATATTCTGCAGGGCATATATCTATGTTTTATGCGGGTTTTCATTTGCTGTGAGATCAGTGTTGGCGACCTGGGAAGAGAAAATACATTTTGTAAGTCCCGTCGAACCCTAAATAGTAGCTGTTGTCTGACTGGTTAAATCCGTTTGGCCGTCTCGCGTTTGATTGGACGGTCATAGGTCGCTCAAAGGTTACCTGACGCAACCTTCCACAAGGTTTTGTTAGACTCAGTATAGCCGTGAAACGAATAATACTGAGCCTAAGTTTACTTAGACTGAGAAGGACTGATTGGAACCATGCAAAAACATCTAGGTAATTTATTTAGGTTCTGTATTTTAATGTAAGTATGTCACTAATAGTGTTAAACAATAACAAATGTGCTCTGTTGCTATTGGGATCCACAGACTTAAAAACATGCAAGGCCTTTTTAAATCCTTAAGGCCTTCATTAATGAACTGCTGGTTACAGATCGACACTCATGGTTAATTGCAGGCCTCAAGGATCTGTACAAATTTGAAACTACAGGCCTGACACAAGTTTTGTCTGACACACTCTTACAGGCAGGCAACTGTTTTGAGCACTGGTCGAAGTGTTTCACCTTTTTCAAGGTGTGTAGGTGGACAATGGAGTGTGACTACCTGTGGCATGTCAAAGAATAGTGTATATATTAACTCACTGAGGGTGAGATCAGATGGCACCACATATAATGTATGTATCTGTGTTTTCTAGATCCACATCAAGAGAGGTGATCACTTGAAAGGTGCACGCATGTTGATCCGAGTTGCCAACAACATCAGCAAGTTTCCCTCTCGTAAGTATTGTATTGAACAAGATATTGCATGGCTTGATGTCACTGTGAGCCATGGGTTCTGTTGACCACATACCTGTAAACTCTGAAGTCCTCGTAGAAATAATTTAGAAGTTCCAGCCGAGCGTGGTGTCAATGAAATACAATATTTTTGTGAAAAAATAACTTTTTATGTTTTCACAGAAACATGTTAACATATATTATTTACCCCAATATGATACTTCTCTCTGGGAAGATCTGAGGGCAGCTCCCAGGACCTGTAGAGAGAAACCTAAGTGAACTTTTCCCACCCAGTCTTGAGGCAGCCAGATGTCAACTTGTTGATACTATTCAGCTTCTAATATTTACCACCTTTTCATAAATTTCAATCTTAGCAATATATAACTGCAACACAGATATACTGTCAGTAGTACAACTTATGGTGTACATGTCACGGAGCTAAGAAACATTTGTACTGAGAATTACTTATCAGCCCAGGTACTGACTGGTTCCTTCACCTGAAAGGATTATGTCCATAGACACTGAGGTATCAAAGTCAATTTTTTTATTTTAATTAAAGAATATTTTATCTTTTTTTGTTTTTCTGTACAATATTTACTTACTGTTATATAACCAGAAAACTGGGTTAAATATATCTAGAATCTTGTGTTAAATTTAGCAAGAACATTGTAGAAATGACATTGTTATTGCAGGCTTGGATAAGGTAGAAATACACGATGAAGAGGCATGATGGTTCATGAGTGTAGTAAAGATGCATGTTTTCTTTCTAGACATCGTTCCCCTGTTGACATCTACTGTCATTGAATGCCAGAGGTCAGGTTTGAAAAACTCAGCCTTCAGCTATGCTGCCATGTTGATGAGGCCGGAGTACCGTAACCAGATTGATCTGAAATACAAGAAGAAGATCGAGATGATTGTCCGGAAACCAGACAAGACGGAGGAAGACGAACCCCTCAGCCCATGTCCAGTGTGTGGCTTCCAGCTCCCAGAGACAGAGCTCATGTGTCCAGAGTGCAAGAACAACCTGCCATACTGCATCATAACTGTAAGTAGAGACAGCCATCTCAGTATTATACTTTGTACCCCTGGGCAGGTATCTTCACATTATGACTACTCCCAGTTTGACTACTCATGAACATAAGCAAAAATGGAGCACCCCTACGTTTAACAATGTGCTGTAGCTGATTACTCCCAGTTTGTCTACTCTTTGAAATTAACCTATATGGGAGACTCATAGGGCCCCAAGTGTCCTCGAAGGCACCATTACAAGTACATGATGGGTTAATGGGTTTATAAATCTACTTATTTTATGGGCATTTAAATCACTGCATTCTAATAGGAGTCTGCAGTGGATTATTTGACAGAACCTGTTTCCAGTGTTGATATCAAACCCGAACGAAGTACTACAATCTAGTGTAATCTTATCCTTGAATTCACTTGGTGATTGTATAAGTCTGAGTTCTTCAGGTAAGGAATTTCAAAGTTCAATAGTACTGGGTAAAAATGATTTAGCATATGGAGTCATTCATTTTATGCACCTTCTTTCTACTAGAGGTAAGAGATCAGCTTCTGAATATTATTTATTATGACTTGTTCCCCTTGTAGTCCCACATATTGTTCTAAGCGCATCAAGCTGTAATTTCTCAAGCATTGATGCCTGGCTAACTGTACAATTTATATAGAAGTCCCTTATGTCACACTTTTTCAAAGGCCTTGCTTATATCACAGAAGACAGCTCTTACTTCTTTACCTTTTGTGTATACTTGAGCTTTTCCACAACAATGACCGATGTAATTAGCTGAATTAATATTGTACGAACCTGGTACAGCTATAATTCTTTATAAGTGCTGGTAGAAGTGTCTACCTGATGGAGGGGAGAGAGCTAGTAATTAAAAATTACTCGACTGGAACAGGTTGTGTATTGGAAGGGTAGTCAAACTGGGAGTAGTCATAATGGGAATGACTTGATACAGTTCCCATCAGTCTCTGCTTGTTGCAAGAGGTCACATCATGGATCTGACAGTTAGTGGTGACTCAGTTGATAACACTGATGGTGTGGCTGTTGTTCATAATATCAGTCACTTGTTTATGATAGAATCACAGTCCACTCTATTGAATACTTGTATTTTGTTAGATCAACTTGGTTTATGATAGAATCACAGTCCACTCTACAGAAGACTGCTGACTACATGACATGCTGTGTATCTGTACATGACCTGTGTATTTTCACCTGTTTGACTCCAGGGTCGTCATGTTGTGTCAGAGGATCTGACTGCATGTCCAACATGCGACTTCCCAGCCATCTTCCCGGAGTTCATCAAGTAAGTGGACTAAACGTATACTCATGGTACTACTCACATATGTGGCAGATTTTTTATCAAATTTCATCTTTTGTATTTTGCACATTTTACGTGGAGAAACCTAATTGTGGTTCAAGGGTAGAATTTGTTCTCAGCAACCTGTGCTTGGTGTGAATAATTAAACATACAACTTTACTGATGACAATTTCTTGTTTATTGCGTAGAACAATGTTTTCGTGTAGGTTTTTACACTGTTATCAAGCTAAATGTGACTACAACTACAGTTTGAGAATTATATACAGTGATCCTTTGCAGTAACATGGGTCTTGGGGTCCATGGATGACCCCCGCGTTATTAGACACCTGTGTTATAGTAACGATTACATAACGCGGAACAAAGGCCAAGTAAAATCGTATTTTCCATGGACATAACAAAACTGCTATTTCGTGTATTGTGCCCAGTCAAAACTATATCGTATTGTTGGAGGTGAAAAAAAAACCCAACTTTATAAATGAAAATAGATGTATGTACATGAAACTTGCAATCAAACATCACATGATAATTCAATTGTTGTTCCTGTTATGCTACCTGTTATTCAACTAAGCCAAAAATAGCAATCAGCTGTGCACAGATCGATGTTTTGGTCCAGTGTACTGGTGATTCAGTTAAAAACGATCGGAAAATATAGCATCAAAGAATTTCTATTCCATTATGAGAATAATTTATATGTCAAGCAGTTATTCTAACAGAGATCTTATATATTGCTATTGTATAAGTATAATGCATGTTTTCTACGAACATATTTAACATAATAATTAGCATTGCTAAGCACTTTGGGTTACCTGGCTGGATACATTTTACGTTGGAGACAGTTTGACAAGTTACCGCTGACTTCCCGCGGTACGTGCCACTTTGATTGTAAAAACAAAATGTTGGCAATTAATTGTCAAATATGACTTCAATGAGTCAATAACGCTGGTCTTGGGGTCAGTGGATGACAAGGCTGTAATCTGTTTGTGATTGCTGAGAAAAATGTGAAATTGGTGCTATCGCGGTAGGCACGAAAAACGGACCCTCACGGATGTGGTAAACGGTCGTTGTATGGAATGAGGTAATGCCATTTTACTCATGGTTTCTCCGTTGTTATTGTAAACAGTTTTAATGAATGAAAATGGGATTAAATTTAATCAAATAAAATGTGTTTTCTGACATCATACATTCTCGGATGGCGGTGTTTACCCGCGCAATTACGCGGTGTGTTGCATCACAGCAAATGTTGTAAGTGCTCGGCTGATGGCATGTCTTTATGATAAAGTTATTCTGATGTTTTGCTGTTCATCTATTATTATTATTGAAAAAAAACCTGCATGTTTTAAGCATCTGAAAAACCATGGATATGTACGATAAACACTGTTAATCTGCACTGAATTTCACTAGTTTACAACGTGATTAACAAGAGCTCAACAGCGGATTTGTTGATGTGCTATTTTCGATGACGTGAATATGTGTGATGACTGGGCAACTTTTTTATATGGGAGCCAGGGATTACCCTGCGGTTTAACCGAATCCGCGGTATCGCAAAAGAGCGTTATTGCGACGGATGACTGTATTTACAGTTAGCTTGATAATTGTGTAAGAATTTACATCGAAACATTTCTATGTGCAATAAACAAGATGGTGTTATCCATAAAGGTATATGCTTCATTATTGACTCACCAACTTCTAGAAGGCCGATCAAACAATGCTTAATGTGGGAGAAAATATTAACAACATCCCTTCATGCCATGTCTTCATATTTTCTTTATAAAACTGCTTACATGTTTTAGAATTTAGAAGTCATTATTTCATCAGATTATAATGCCCACCTCTCTTTATCACCCAGTATTACCAGGTTTATGAGAGGTTTGCTTCCATACAACTTTGGCATGCAGGGAATTTTCCATGCCAAGTAATTGCATAGCTAAATATATATATTTTTAAATGTTGTTTTTCACTCAGTATTTGTCATGTAAACAAACAAATCTTTTAAAGTTACAGGATGGTATTATAACTCAATGGGATGAGTATTATTATGAAACTGTCTGGAAAGAACCCTGGTATTTTTGTTAGTGTCCTGGCTTTCCGTGTGAGTAGCTAACATGACCCTTGTGACTTCAGGCTTCTGGAGAGTGAGGAGTCATGTCCAATGTGTGCTGAGAAAGTGATTCGAGAAAACTTAACGAAGATCACCGACACCAAGAAGTATATGTTTCCAGAGGAGGGGGTGACAGAGTGACGACACCTATCTTAAACACTTATTTATCTTAGTGTCACAGCTTAAACTGACTGCTCTACAAATCATCTTTAGACTTGTTAGTTGAAATGTACCTTTCTGAGGCTGTCATTTGGTCATGTGTAAATTTGATATATGACAGATGTACTCACAGAGTCGGCCCCAACATTTATTTGTGTTTCGCCCAATACATATCAAATAACAAACGCTTTATATGACTCCTGGACTTGGGTTTATGCGAAATATAATATTTGGCTATGCTTTGCGCAACATTTTAATGGTTTAGTGAAAACCAACACATGACCTTCCCTCCATGAACATTTTGAAGCCTTGATGATGATTGACTGAAAGTTCCTCCATTGATCTTCATTCAGGGATCTTCATTCAGGGGTGCATCATAACATCTGAAACATCTGATTTTGGGGTCTTGTGGTGTTAACCTTCCCAGTTACTACTTCCTGACATTAAGAGACAACTCTTTGACCAAACAATATTATTTTTTTACTGTATATTCCGTCCGTAACGTCCAGTTCAAACAGGCCACATCAGTTCAGCAAGGATGACATTTATGTAGGTTTGATTGTCTGCAATTACTAGGCTTTGACTCTGTGTCAGCTGTGAGTGTTTTCATATCCAGATGTTTGTGTCAGTCTTTTATTTCAAAGAAAGACATGACAATTCTGTAAGTTCATGTTCTTGAAGCTGAGTAGAAATCATGGATAGAACTTCAGCAGGCACAAGTCAGCAGGAATGAATTCTAGACCATTTAGTCCCAACATATGTCTTATGACGTTTTGTCATGAAAAACAGTAAACAAGTTGTCTGAAATCATTTACTATCAACCTTATGACGACATCTATCAAGATATTGTTCATGTTTATGACAATAATTGTTTTGTTGTATTGTGAACATTGCAAATTGTGCAACATTCCTGTGATATATTTTCAGATGTGGAATAAAATATTGTACAGAATTAAACCACCAAGGTTGTGCTTATTTGGGAAAGATATTGCTTTGTGTTTTAACAAATAATTCTTCTTGGCTCAGTTATTTGTCCAAATAAAAGAACCCTTATCCAGGTCAAAGTCCAGCCAGAGCACAAGTGTCTGATCCAAGGGTCATTGTTTTCATTGAGAGCAACTAATTCTTTTGAGATCTTGAACCTTTTTATTAAGTGCATAATTCCACCTGCTTTTGGCTGTGTTGGATCGTCTTCAGGTGATGATGATGTGGGTCACTGAATTGTCTGACCAAGACTCTAATACTTACAGATTGCTGTCAATGGCTGCAGTGTTGATTAGTGCTTGAATTAACAGTAAACAACAAACTCCAAAAGTCCTTTGATTGTAAAGTAAAAGAATATAGTGTCTTTCTAACAGGTTGTATCCCAGATTATAAATTACATAAATTTATCGGACAAATACTTGCCGACATTTATGATAATTAGGGGGATACATATTGATTTGGCATGTATGGAAAAGTCCTTTGTAAATGAAATCATAGTTAAGTGTTGAATCAGTTAACTTTGAATCAGGTAAAAGAACTCAATGTAAAGCCAACAAACAACAAACAATGTGATATAGTCAACAATTGTATTCTAATATTAAGTTTGCAAGTTAATAAAAATATCTATCAGGAAAAGCATAGAATGCTGTAAACATGTGCAAGTGACAGTGAAACTGACTCTAGCATTTGTGAATATACATCTATGACATCATGTAATACTTTTTACGTGGCTCAGTATTTATCAGTTGATGCTTCTATATCTTGGAAAAACGCTAAGGACCCAAGAAAAATGGTTTCGATTTCAGAGATATATAAAGGCTAAAAAACACTTTCCAGACTCATAGAAAGTCAAGGATAACAGTCTATTGTAAAACTCAGTCCATGTAATAAACATATGTTTATGAATCACTATCAATGATGATACAATTCGTTCATAAAAGTGATATTTTCTTACCCCACCGGTGGCAACAATCTCAAGTAAAAGCCACAATACTAAAAGCGAAGATGAAGTCACGAAAGTGAGTAAGTGAGTTTAGTTTTACGCTGCGCGAAAGTGAGTAATCGAGTCTGGGTCAGACAATCCAGTGATCAATAGCGTGCATCGCCTGGTGGGTCGATGACATGTGTCAATCAAGTCAGGATCCCACCAATCCGTTAGTCGCCTCATACGACAAGCATGGGTTACTGGAGATCAGATATAACCTGGATCTTCACGGGTCCAAAGTCAAGAAAGGTCCATGTCACAGCACAGAGAAGTCAAGAGTGCTCCCTGAACAAACACGCGAACGCCCGATACCATTCAAACCCGATGCGTCAAATTTAAATAAATGTCTAGTCAAGTTAAATTAAGTACTTCTTTCATTTTCCCATGAGGATGCTTTTACGCCGGACGTTAAGTTTATGTATGTTTTAGGAACAATTTCTGTTTGTTGATCATGACCGTTACGTTAATATAGTCTGTGCATGACATTTCCAATCTCTTTTCATTTTTCGGATTGTACTTCATTGAAGAACGATCTCGCAGATAGAGCGTCTCGGGTGGTAGCATTCCGTATCAACAAGATCTTTGCGATACAGATACACGCAGTTCTGATGGGATACGTAATCAGGTTCACCAACGTCCCACTTAGTGGTGTGTGTTGATCCCGTTAACCATCTGAAGGGGCCACTGGTGGTTGACTTGTTCATGCCGACCCACACCGTCGAAGTCCCAGTATCTGAAACATTGCGAAAAGACAGATAAAATACACAAATCATGCATAGATTGGATTTTATAAATGTTGGTGAAATATGATTAAGCTTTATTGTACTTAAATGTGTCAGTAAAAGCGTTTTGCAGATATATATGTGTGTCTTTTTGGTCTAATTGGGTGACAATGACTGTGCCCTCTCCCCGTGTTTAGTTTCAAGACGGACTTCAAATGTTACATACTGACACGTTGAAGGGGAATTGGAACAAGAACAGTTTGGTGGTTTTAACAAAATGTGTGTTATTATATAACTTTTGGACAATGTTGATACACGCAGCCACCGCAGTTACAATGGGTGGCGAGCCTGGGATGATATGTCTCTGAAGATGCTGAAAGTGACTTATTATCCCCCGCCGTGCGTTTAGCGCGAAGCGGGGGATATAGTATTAGGCTCCCTCCCTCCGTCTGTACGTACGTACGAATTGGAATATCTTAAGAACCGTTGACTGGATTCTTTTCATATTTGGTACCTAGGTTCATCACAGTAAAAGAAAGGTCCCAGTCAGGTTTGGTGATCTTGACCTTCATTTCAAGGTCACAATGGGACTTTAACGTTTTACCCTTGTCAGCCAGATATCTCAAGAAACGTTCACTGGATTTTCGTCATATTCGACATAAAGCGTCATCGAGGGAAGGTGCAGGACCCAGTCGATTTTGGTGACCTTCACTTAATTTTCAAGGTCACGGTGACACTTTCAAGACTTCAACATGTTAACCTGCATGTAAAGATTGTCAGCGAGATATCTCAAGAACCATTCACTGGACTTGCTTCATATTTGACACAAGCTTCATCTGGGGAAGGTGCAAGGCCCAGTCGATTCTGGTGACCGTCACATAATTTTCAAGGTCACGGTGACACTTTCAAGACTTCAGCATGTTAACCTGCATGTAAAGATTGTCAGCGAGATATCTCAAGAACCATTTTCTGGACTTTCTTCATATTAGACACCAAGCTTCATCTAGGGAAGGTGCAAGTTCCAGTTGTTTTTGGTGACCTTCACATAATTTTCAAGGTCACGGCGAGACTTTGACGATTTCAGCATGTTAAACTGCATGTTAAGTTTGTCGGCGAGATATCTAAAGAACAGTTCACTGGATTTTCTTCATAGACTGTCAAGACTTCCTTTGAATGTTTTTCAATAAGCAATTTCTGTGTTACTATTTTTTGCATATTTCATACACTAAGACATTCATGTCAAGGTCAAAGTGAGTCATGAAAATATTTGTGCGTTTGAACAACTACAGAGCAAGATATCAAGAGAGGTTGACTGGTCATGTTTTTGTTGACATTTAATTTCATCATAAATTACGACCTTCACTTTCATTCCTTTTTAAGTTTGATTTGATAATTTGCGGCGGGGGATTATGTCACCTTAGTGACAATGCTTGTTTGCTTTTACCTTCCATGATGTAGTTTTTGACGTAGTTGTGCTTGTCGTCGGTGTCCAGGACCACGAGACGACCACCATCACCGTAACATGTATTGTGGCTGTCCTCCCAAGTTTTAGTTTCAGTCCTGACTTTGAAGGAAAGATTCGTCGACTCAGCAAAGACGAAGCCCAATCTAGTTGGACAAGCTGCAAGTAATTAATACTCAATTACATATTGACTTACAAAGTGCCACCAGCAGTCTGTGCTTGGGATCGGGTGGTCAGTGCCGCTGTCTTGGTCAATAATGGATTTTCAGACTTTAGGGTCGGAAAAGCACTCCTTGCACGCTTGATCTCTAGTGACTTGGTCAGTGCATGTTGTATGAATTTTGAGACTCTACAATTTAGGTTAGTAAAAGTACTCCTGACACTGTCTCGTGAACGCGCGTTTCTCTCCTCTCGCCTATTTGCCTATCAAAAGTCATGACGGATTCTAAAGCTTACTCTGATATTACTGAGCTGAACAGTAAGGGAGGGTTCATCAAAACACGTCTTTTCATAAACCCGCAGATAATCAACCTTGCCCTCACTATCTAGATGAGGTTAAACATATCATTCGGTAATGGTCAAAAGGCCAAATCCCTTTCACTGATCTGCCCTCCTGAGCTAATAATAAATGGTGCATGTTAAACTGCGTAGTCATTTCATATTTGGTATGTGTTTGTATTATTTAATATTGATCCGTATATATAGGCTATGATCAAGCAGGATTTTGTACAAAGACTTCTTCACACAACACACGATTCCTCCTCGAACATTATTTGATCAACATTTACACCTCAGAAAATTTTCGTGTAGACAAGTGGAGAATATTTCCAAATTTGATTCATCTGTGAGCCAAGTGATGCAGTTGCCTATGTTGACTTTTTTTGTTTTGTTTGAGTTTTTGTACTGTTTTTAACGTTAACGGGATGGTGAGAAATACATCTTCAGAAAACCTCACAGCACGATTTGAATACATTTAGAAATGGGTTGAATGTAACACGTTATATTTGGGATTACATTTTCTCAGTAAAGTACAGATTCCAGTTGTCCGACAAACCAGATATAATCCACTCGAACATGAGTCATACCTGTTCGGTTTGGCCTTACGGTTACCCTCATCCATGTATGAACGTGTGTCTTTCAGGGTTCACTGACTTTTCCCTGCTAAGTATAGATTTTCCCCTGACCATGCAAGTAAAAACTCTGGCCTCCTGCCTCCCCTTCAGCCAGTCCTAACCACCCTTTTAAGATATTACCTTCACACATATAATACATACATTGTTTTGTTAATTTATTACCTTCACGAAGCCCATTACATACATTGTTTTGCGTGATGTTGCTGGAATATTTATTAGTCTGTTTACATTAACCAAAGCCCATTTGTAGCGAAGAAGTTTTCTTGTCACCCCGCCGTGATGTTGCTGGAATATTGCTAAAAGCGGTGTTTTGACAAAATTGATAAGTAATCATTTTCTTCAAAATACTTGGAAATAATAAACATACAAGATATGTTAATTTATTACATTAACAAAGCCCATTTCATTGATGTTGCTGGAATATTAACTAGTAATCTTTTTTTTCTTAACATTTTCAACAACTGTAACATGAACATATACTCTTCCCCAAAAAATAAAGAAACTATACATGCTGTTTTGGAGTTTATTTACTGAGTGCATATAATTGATTCAAACATGACATCATTGCTCAATTACAGTAAAATCATCACTTTACAAATTTCCAAAACATGATTATCCAGAAAGTGTTTGGTAAAACCACAGAGGTCTATTAAAGCCACTTGGTCAGAGTAAAATGTCAGTATCTGGTGTGACCACCATGAGCATCGATAACAGCTTGGCAGCGGTGACCCATAGAAGAAAGAAGATGCCGAATGCTGTCTTGAGGAATGTTTTGATACTCTTTGCTGAAGTGCTGTGTGCAGTTCTTGTAGTGTCTGAGGTGGCGGATTACGCTGGCACAAACGTCGATCAAGAGTATCCCACAGATATTCAATAGGGGACAAATCCGGTGATCGAGAAGGCCAAGGTAACACCTGAACATTGTTTCGCTGGAGGAAGTCCTGTCAAACACGTGCAACATGAGGTCGACCATTGTCATGCTCCAAAGATCAACTTTTGAGGTTGATGAAGGGAACGACCTGACGTTGAATTGGTCTTCTGGCATAAAGTCTAGCTTCCCATAACCAATTGCGCACTGTCTGGTCGGAGATTCGGCGCAGTCCAGGGATTTGGATTGTTGTGGAAGATGTGACGGTGGACGTTTGAACGAAGATGTCTCAGCCAGATGTAGCGATCCTAGGCGGCGGTGGTAACTCTAGGTCGACCTGACCTGGATCTGTCATTAACACTCCCAGTATTATTGTATCGGCTCCATAGGTTTTAGATGGTCTGTCTGGACACGCTGAAGTGCCTTGCCACCTCATTCTGCGATGCCCGTCCTTGTAAACGGTCGATGGCGTTGTGTCCTCGAGCTTCTGTCACTGTTTTTATTCTCTTGTCGTCTATAGTGGCTTAAAACAATGCATGTGGAGTATCATTGATGTGACGATTTAAAGCCTACAGTCATAGGCTTCAGCTCAGGGTGATACACAATTTTATGATGCACATGCATTTCATGTAGGGTCCGTGTTAGCCATTCACTACAGACGTGAGTGTAACGTTACATATTTGTTCAACGTTTCTTTTTTCAAACGTTTTGTCGTCGGCAACCATTCCCCCACATGTTGGGATTCAGCCTGGATTGGTTTGTGTCAAATATTTTCCTAAAACTCAAATTTGTCCTATGTATAGTTTCTGTTTTTGAAGCGTATATAATACATTGCACACCGATGCAGCAAATGTGATCTAAAGCAAAAGGCATCCAGTACCCCTTCATAAACAATAACTGCAGCAATTATAGCCTTATGACACTACCAGGTAGGCTGGCACTATCAGTTGTGTGAATTCATATCATTAGAAATATATGCTGTAGCCGACAATTGTGAAGTATCACGTTCTTCTTTCAACTTCTTTTCCAGGCTCTCAGTATCCTCACCAAGGTGAAAAATTTTTGTTTTGATTTCCCAAGTCTTTGTTCTGTAAGCGTTTGATTTGGTTATAAGTTCAAGTTTCTTTTTTCTTTTCAGCATTCAATGCCAGTTCATCAGCATCTTTCAACAAAAGATCATCTTCTTTGCGGTAGTTATTTTACCTTTTCTTTTTTAGCCACAACCTTTTTCCTGAAGAGCATTTCTCTTCATTCGTTTTTCCTTTTCAACTCTGTTTGTTTTCTGAGCATCCAAGTATTTGGTAGCGATGCTTGGCTTGCCTGCAATACTGCACCATTTTATTGATATAGGCATTTCATGTAAGTTGACCTTGAATTCGCTTAAACCATCAAAACATCTGCGCATAGCTATGACTGACATTTCACTCATATTTGTCTCTATAATATCCTGGTTGACTGAGAATCTTCTTTCAATACATGCCTGTCCATGTGATAAAGTAAGAAGCATGACAACTAGATTCCACAACTACACAAAGTCTTTATCTTCTCCAATACGTTTGGGGAAGAATGTATGAAGTCTATCAGGCTTGGGCTTGAAAGGTAGAAAACTTTCTTTGTCATGATCTGCAAACTCACTAAGCCATCTTCTGTACTTTCTCAGAACATCATCACACTTTTCAGCCATTTCAGTTGAAGCAACTTGTGTAGCACTGCTTCAAATTTCTTGCATGCACTCTCAGGATTATTCATCATCAGCCGTGGGTCGAGAGATGAAAGTGCACGGACAAGAGAATATTTTAAGGGACTTCTCTCAATGAGTTTTACTGACAAGCCCTTCAGGAATGAGACACATTAATTGAAGAAAGTAAATATTTGAAGTTCACTTGCTTTCTTTAAAGTTGCAAGTTCTGTATGTGCTTGCTTTGCAGCGAATCAAAGTTGTCGTTCTTCCTAACATCAATTTGAGTCAGCTTATAGACAGTTTCCTCTCCAAGAGCAGATTTCGTTATGAATAGATAGAAAAATGTCCTTTAGTTCTTGAGAGTTTAATGGCATCATTGGTTTGTCAGTTTCGAAATCTTGTAGAAAAAAGCTTCAAATGAAGTTTTACATCAATGAGAAGATCTTGTAGATATTTCATCATGTTGTGGAGGACTGACACTTTGGGATCTGGCTCTTGGTAACATTTTCACTTTTTTGAATGTATTTCCTCAGGTGTGGACTGATATCAAGAGCTCTCTCAGTTACATCTATGTCCCCAAACCACCGTGTGCTGCAACAGTTCTTCGGAGATTGGGCAGATCCAGTCAGTGACTGGTCATCCTCACGCCTTGCAGGGCTCACATTGAAACAATAACACATGGATCTTAAAAGACAGTCAAGGCTCAAACATATCTGTTGTGCACTGTATTTGAATGCTCCATGAACTACACGCAGTCCACAGCTACCAACTGACAGAAATGACGGTATAGTATTCCCAGATATTTTGAGAAAGTTGTTTCCGCAAATATCTAATATATGTATATAAACTATAGAAGTTTTACTTAAATAAACATGTTGAGATATGATTCTCTTACTGTCTAAGAGTCTTTTCAGTACTTTGTGATACCTCCTTGCCCTGCAATACAGGACTGAATACACCTAGGCACACTACCGATCAAAGTTGGAAAAGATTTTGCTGTGTGAACACTCGAGTCGGCAAATCAAACTCATTCCACTCATAAAAATAACTGAATAATATTCACAGACCACTAAGGTCAACTTAAAGGTCACACACACACCTGGGTCGGAAGGGAACTCATCCAAAAGTGGGGTTGGGGCTTAAGGGTTCAAAACTCACTGTCCAAATCGATTAGGTCACCAAAAGGTCACACACTTGTGTGATGACGTCATAAAAACAAAATGGCTGATTTCATGCTATTTATCCCTGGTTACAACATACATCAAGTGTTCCAGTTTAAGCATTGTTTGTGTCTATGGCTGCTGCTGTAATGCTGCACTTCCTGTGTCATCCTGCATCACACATGGTCCCTGGTGCATACTTAAAGGACGGATTTTCTGTGTGTTTCTTTCTTGAAGCATGACTAGTAAGAGCTCTTTCCACCATGTTCCCTTGTTCACAACTCACATCACACATCATACACCGAGCCATGTAATGA